ATTTCAAATGATGGTCTCATGATGGATTCTAAGAAAGTCCAAACAATCATGGATTAGAAGATTCCAAGGACAGTAAGAGATGTCCAATGTTTCTTGGGATTTGCCAATTACTATCGGATCTTCATCAAAGATTTCTCACGAGTTGCAGCTCCACTTACACGCTTGACTAGTAAAGATAAATTTCAATGGAATCAAGAAGCGGAAGCAGCATTTGAAGCCTTGAAGACATCGTTTGTCTCTGCACCAGTCTTATATCGTGTTGACTTTTCCAAGGCATTTTTTATGAAAACAGATGCATCAGATTTTGCCTTGGGTGCAGTTTTATCACAAATGGGAACAGATGACAAACTTCATCCGATAGCTTTTCATTCAAGAAAATTCTCAGTAGTCGAGATCAATTATGAGATCCACGATAAAGAACTTCTTGCGATCATGGATTCCTTTCAAGAATGGCATCATTATCTAGAAGGCGCTTTTAGTCCAGTCACTGTGTATACAGATCACAAGAACCTTGAGTATTTCATGTCAACACGCGTGTTGAATCGTCGTCAAGCTCGTTGGAGTATGTCTTTGTCAAGATTCGAGTTCATTATCACTTATCGGCCAGGAAAACAACAAGGTTTGTCCGATGCCCTATCTAGACGTTCTTATTTTGCACCAAAAGAAGGAGATGCAGCTTTTGAGCAACAAAGAACGGTCCTCTTGAAACCGGAGCAATTTCATCTCCGAGCAATGAAATCAACATTGACTGTTGATTCAACTTTTCTCAAGCAAATCTAGTCCAGTATGTCCTCAGACCCTCTTGTTTATGATATCGAGAATAATTCTTCCAAGTCTCATGATCCTTCTAAGTTCGAGTTTAAAAATAATCTATTATATTTTAAAGGACGCCTATATGTTCTAGAAGGAGAAGCACGTTTACGTGTTCTTCAAGCACGTCATGACTTTCCAGCAGTAGGGTACTTTGGATATAATAAGACTTTGGAACTCATATCAAGAGATTTTTGGTGGCCACAAATGTGGAAGTCAGTCAAAGACTTTGTACAATCATGTGATATTTGTTCAAGATCAAAAATTCCTCGTCATCGACCTTACGGACTTCTTCAGCCATTACCTATACCAGAACAACCATGGTCTTCTGTTTCTATGGATTTCATCACAGATCTTCCAAGCTCAAGATCTTATGATTCTATATTTGTGATAGTAGATCGTTTCACCAAGATGGCACACTTTGTGCCATGTACAAAATCTATCACAGGTGAAGAAACAGCTAAGCTTTTCATTGATAATATCTATCGCTATCATGGATTACCTAAAGATATCATATCGGATAGGGGAACTCAATTTGTGTCAAGATTCTGGAGGACCCTTTTCAAGATTTTAAAAGTGGACAAAAAGCTATCTTCGGCTTTCCATCCTCAAACTGATGGACAAACAGAGCGCGTAAACCAAGTCTTGGAGCAATATTTAAGGTACACTATCAACTACCAACAAGATGATTGGACAACCTTTCTGCCATTGGCAGAGTTTGCTTATAATAATACGGTACATTCTTCCACGCAACAAACACCTTTCTTTGCCAATTATGGCTATCATCCACGACTTGATACTTTTGATTTTTCAAAAGTTGATAATCTTGCAGCAGAAGATATGGCAAATCGGTTGTCAGAGTTACATACAATAATGAAGACGCAATTGAACGAAGCTCAAGAATGACAAAAGATAAACGCAGATCTATATCGTAAGGAGCAACCACAACTCAACGTGGGTGATAAGGTATGGCTACTTCGTCGCAATATCAAGACTACTCGACCTTGTGACAAGTTGGACTATCGTAGGCTTGGCCCCTTTTCTGTTTCTGAACAGATCAACCCAGTTGCATATCGGTTACATCTACCGGAGTCAATGAAGATCCATCCTATATTCCACGTGTCTCTTCTTGAACCATATAAGACAGTGGATATACAAGGAAGAAGACAAATGCCACCGCCTCCTATAGAAGTAGATAATAATGAAGAATTTGAGGTGGAAGAGATATTAGACTCAAGGCGGCGCCGAAATAAGCTGGAATATCTTGTTCATTGGCGCGGATATGATATTAGTGAACGCACATGGGAGCCATCCAGGAATCTAGCAAATGCATCAGCTAAAGTCAAAGTTTTTCATCAACGACATCTATCAAAACCAAGATGAAAATCTCTCTTATAAAAGAGACAAGATTGAGGCAAGATAACATTCAATTTTCTATCCTTGTTTGTAACTTCTTTGCATTTGTGACACTAATTAGATGGAGAGCCAACAACCAGCGGATTCAACTCAAGAACCTTCGTTTGCTGACCTGCCGGACGAGACATTACGATTGTCACAACCTTCAAGACGACGCAATCGAGATGAAGATCTTCAAGAACGACATGTTCTTCCTCGAATAGATCGTGAGATACAACGCGTTTGGTATCATGATTTGGGAAGGGACTCCTGATGTTTGGTGATTTTGCTAGAAGTAGGAACAACTCCTGATGGTGTTCCAAATATTCTATTCGAAGGAAGTTAGGAAGGCCTCAACAATGATCAAATAACTGGGTGGTCTTTCCGCCCTGGTATGGGACAGTACCGATGGTTGAGAGGCCCTATCAATCATCTTCAAAGAGAACAGAGATCAGAGTATATAGCGAATATAATTCGTCGCATCATAGATTTCCTCAACATATGATGACCGCTCCTCGTGGAACTCGTCTCTAGAAGGAGGGGTAATGTCATGGCCATAATCATGTAAGCTAATAATTACATATAGAAATAGGTAGAAGTAAGTAAAAGTAGATAAAAGTAAGTTAATTCTATAATATTTAATATAGAAGCTTCCTAAAAACTTCCTAGACGCTGCTTTGACTTCATAGGTGTCTTTAATTGACTTTTTGGATTAGAAACATGGTCAACAAGTTGGCCATGTGCCACACATGTTGTTAGCTTGAAGATCAAGCTAACTATGTGGCCCACACGTAGAAAAACTTGCCTTGTAAGTCAAAGCATGTGTCCTACAAAGTCAACACATATTGGAGGTCCTATAGAATGTCGCCACGTAGCCCCTAGTTAGATAGTATATATAGAGACAAGAGTGAAGGCTTCTTCACTCTTGTCAACTTCTTTCTTGCTTCTAGTCCAAGTTCAAGAGTCTTTAGTTTCTTATCTTGTGGCAATAGCCATTCCAATTTCCTTTTAATATACCTACTTGTTTACATTTTGACTTATTATATCGAGATAGCCTTTTTGTGTATATTTTCCCTCATCGAGTCTTTGTCCTTGACAATATATGCTTATTTTTAGTTAAGCTTATTGCTCTTTGTGGTGGTAAATTGAATTGATGAATTGCAAGCATTAATACCCTCATTTGCTCTTACATTTGTGCCATTGCATTTTTTTATTTTAACAAGTTTTTTCATATTAATTCAATAGAAAAAAATATCTAATATCATTCAAGAGAAATAAAAGAAAAGATTCAAAAATAAAAGAAGTTCTATGAATAATATCAATTTAGAAGTAAATAATTCACAACTTCTAATATATTTATGTCTTATTAAGAAAAAAAATCCTCTTTTAATTAAAAAAAAGATAAATTATGATATTATAAATATATTCTTGTTAATTTGTCTATAATAAGAATATAAGGAATCTAAATAAACATGAAAATATGAGTTAGAAAGAGATGAAAAAATATATATATATATATATATATATATATATATATATATATATTTAAGAAGAAATTAGAATAGCTATTGCTAAAACCTAAAAAATTAGAGACTCTTAAAACTAGACTAGAAGGAAAGAATGAATTGAAAAGAGTGAAAAAGGTCTTACTTTTATCTCTATATATACCATCCAATTAGGATTTATATACCAATGTTTTATAAGACCTTCAATATGTATTCAACTTACAAAACATGTATCTGACTTCTAAGATAAGTTTCTTATGTGTGTGCTACATGACCAATTTGTATCAAAAGTTGCCAATATGTGTGATATGTGGTCAACTTGTGAGCCAAGTTTTCAACTACCAATCATCCATAGACATATTTAAAATCAAATTTGCATCTATGAAGCTTCTCCACAAGATATTATCCCATTCATATACTTTATTTACTTCTACTCAACTCTTCTTATTTAAATAATTTGTAATATGAGTTATGTTTGTGATACTTCTTGAGTTCCAAAAAAACTTGAAAAAAGTGTTGATAAACTTCAAAGCTAGTCTTAAGTAGAATGAGTGAAATTCAATTTTAGAATAACTTATAAAAAAGTGATCACATTTCTAAATGATGTCTTTGAATAACAAAGAAGTTGCCAAGTAAAATAGTAACATTACCTCAAAGAATGAAGTGTGGAGGTGTTAGCACCATCAAAAGAAGTCAGGTGTGGAATGATAAAATTCCAAAACAAGATGTCAAACAAATATATATATATATATATATATACATCCATCTTTTTTAGTCAACAACCAATTCCAAGTGTATTCAAAATCTAATTGATTAGAAGTGACCTTGGTTGGGGGTTTAGAGGAGCAAACACACAGGCTTGCAGCAAACCTTCATTTCTCTTGATTTTCTCCCCACTTTGCCATTCCATTCATATTGAAACCATCAAGTTGTATTGCACACTGGCAACCACCATTCACATGAGTTTCCTGCCATAATATCAAAACAAAAAAACTCCACATGCCACAGAAATCACAATGATATATTCCACTCCTTAAAAAAATTGACTTTCAGAAAAACACTAATTCACACCATGGACATGAGAATATAGACGGAACCTCGATCCACACAAATATATGATACACAGAGTGGCATGGTTATACCAATTGGCTTAGCCACGCTATACACGGTGAAAGGAGAGCGACGCGCATTACCGTGCGCGGTGGAGATGTCCGTTGCTTTGCGACTCAAATCGCGGGATCCCGCAAAGCAGCGCCGGATTTGTGCCCCGGCACCAATCTGATTCCGTCGATGCGTCACGACGTTAGTCGAATCCCCACGCTCCAGTGATTCATGAGAATCATTCGCTTCCACTTTGTTTGGAAAGTGCAAGTTTTTCTCGTCCACCACCATTCGTGGAATTGTGTATGTGTGTTTTTTATTACATATGATGGGAATCGTTTCGGGGAATGCTGCTCAGAGCAGGGCCATTAGATGGATCTTCTGGTGCTTGGAGAGCGTGATAGAGTTTCGGAGTTGTTTTAGAGATGGGCTTCGAGTGGGATATCATGTACAAGGTTTTTGAGGTTTCTGGATTCGTTGCTGCAGTGTAGGATCGTTTGAAGAGGTGGTTGTGAGTTGGGAGGAGTTCACAATTGTGTTGTGAGGATCGGGTGTGCTGTTGGTTTTTTTTTGATTGTGGGTCTTATCGTGTTTTTTTTTTCCCCTTTTTTTGTATATTTGTTTATTTTTTTGTTTGTGTTTTTTTGTTTTTTTGAGGGTGGGTTTATTTTGGAGTTTTGGGATCGCCTCCGCAGAGTTGTGTTTTTATGCCAGACTACCAGCCTTACCCTTCGCTAGCCATGCGGAGGCAGCCGAGGCCGTTGTCGGATGAGGAGGCCAGGCGGACTCGCACTATTCGGTCCGACTTGGAGCCTGCGCCTCAGCCGCGGCCCGCCTTCACGTATCTCGCTGTCTTTCTGTTGTGCGGGTTCGTGGCGCTGCAAATGTACCCCTCCACGCATTGGCGCCACCCTCAAGACAAACTGAAGAGGTGGATCCGGCATGAGAACCCGAAGACTGTCCCAGCCTCTGGGTCAGATTCCTTCCACAGCAGCTCGGATGAGGTGCAAGCACAGCAGGCGCAGGACTTAGCCTCGCAAGAGGCTGATTCCAATACTCTCGATGTAATGTTTCATTACTCAAGGGCTATGCGATAGATTTTAAGCTTGAAACATATCTGAGTACACATACCTTACAATCCACATTGTAATTGAGAAGGAGCGAAGTTCCCCATTTGAGTTTGAGAATTTTGACCTGTGGATGGACTCATGAAGGCTTATGGGCTTGTCACTCATAGATTGTAGTTAGTAGGTTTTTCTTTTTTTCTTTTTTCTTTTTTTTTTGGTTTAATTGTATGCTCATAGTCAAGATCCTTCAATGTATATGTGTGCCGGACTGAAATAAGGAATGACCGTAATCCAATTATAGATGGCACGGCAGACTTTTGACGGAAAATGATGATTTTGGTGCCAAGCTTTAGAAATTTGAGTGCAGACCCATTCTTTCTTGCTGGTCAACAATATTGAAGCAAAATCTGGCGACTGTAAAATACCTTGCTCCTGATCCGCCGTGACAGTCTCTAGGTTCACAATTTTCGCAGGATGAGAAGCACGACAACAATACTTTAGCTTTCCTAAAGAAAGCAGGCGAGCAGGTTGTGCACATCTTTGTGAGCACCGATGGAACTGACTTTCGGCCTCTCGCTGTGCTCGTGAATTCCTCCATCTCCAATGCTGTGTGAGTTCCCTCACAGCTATTGCTAATGCAGGTCTTGTATAACCTATTGTTACTTGTGTATGTGATAGCGTGGACAAGTGCTAAGTTTTTCAATTGTGAATGGACATGATTCCTTCGACAATCATTTTCAGTTCTAGTTCTTGAATCTAATGTGAAGAAACTAACCAATATATCGCTTGTTGGAAACAGGAACCCAGAACGTCTGCATTTTCATCTAGTACTGCCCCCAAGCCTTCGCCTCAGAGCAAAACATTTGGCCGCTTTCTTTCAAAAGACCAAGATCGAAATAGTGGGGTATATTTGAAACCCCTTTCCTCAAGGACACCCCAATTTTGGTAGCATTTGCGTATTTATACGTTTTTGAACGGTGATTTTATGTTTACATGTGTAAAGTTATTTACTTTTACTTTTGTTGTAGATATGGAATTGAAAGCATTATGTGTCTCATTGTACAGTGACACTATTGACTTCGAAGACATGAAGAAACATATGACGTTCTGGAATAACAGTGAGGCAGAACCGGAGCCACAGAGCATGTACAGCTTCGTTCCTTTTCTATTGCCTCAATACTTCAAAGATGTTGGCAGACTCATTTACCTCGATGCTGATGTAGTAGTTAAGGTATCCAAGTTGTACTTCAACTTCCTGGTGCTTTTATGTTGAACTATTCCTATTGAGAAGGCATTCAAAGCAAATCTATACGAAGATATGTGCATGTTAGGTCTAGCAGTTGACTTAGAAGCTGGTCTACCATGGCCTGAACTGTTCCGGACATATTTCTACGGCGTTTTCACTTTGATCGTCATTGGACGCGAAAAAAAATTTATGACTTGTAAGAAATTAGAGATCTTGAATGGCACCATCGTTCTTCTCTGATGATTATTCCATTGAATGTTTCTCTGAGTTACAATATTAATTTTGCAGGGTAATATCGAGGAGCTAATGCACATTGATCTCGAAAATAAGGCAATAGCCGCAGTGGAAGACTGTTCTCAAAAGCTTGAGACTTACTTTGATTTGGACCGATTAGCAAAGATCCAGGCTCGACCTGAGAAGCCTGCTTGGGTTCCGGCTGAGCCCATCAATCCCAACGCTTGTGGGCTCAACGAAGGTGTGCTTGTGATTGATACCAACCCGTGGAATAAGCAGCAGGTGACAAAGGCTATTTTTTGGTGGATGGACGAGTTTCGAAGCGCTGATTCAGCACTCTACAAGTACGTTTCAATCTGAAATCCCGCGTGTATAAAGCAGAAAATAGATCCTACAAGATTTTGACGAGACACATTTGCACTATTCTCCTTAATTCAGTAAGTTTTGTGACTGAGATTCCTAACATTTCATGTCAGCAAGAGCGTTGAAAGGATTTACTTGAACTGTCTTACTCATACGTTTAATTTTTTTGGTATTATAGGCACGGGTTTTCGCAACCACTTTTCTTATTGGCACTCTACGGAAGATACAAGAAATTAGACTCACCGTGGAACGTCCGTGGGCTTGGACGCAACGTGTTCAGTGATCATGAAAGAGAATACTTGGAAAGGAAATATAACCACAAGCCCGACAGAAAGCCCTTCATCTCTCTGGATGCGGATACTGCAAAGATTTTGCACTACAATGGCAAGTTTAAGCCGTGGAAACGGGTCAGGCCAGTTGGAGCATCCGCAGACGTAGTCTCACGCTGTGGGTCGAAAGGGATTGAGTGTGCTAAGCTCTGGTGGGAGTATCTCGACCCTGTTACTGATGCCATTCTGAGGAACGACGATGATCTTTGAATTGGCACTCATATATGTCAGTAATTGTACGACTAAACTTGGCTAAGAGTGTAGATTAATTCTGAGCTGATTTTGTTGTAAGGAAGATAGTACATATTTAGGAAGCCTGGAATATCTCGTCATGGATTTGTCTGATGACGCCAGTAGCTTAGCCATAGCTCCTAACACTTCTCATTAGTAAATTTCATTTATGGAAGAGGGATGGTGACGACTTTCGATTACATAGGAAGACATTGTGCGGATTATCGAGGGCGTATTCTGTTTCTTGTGGCACACAGAACACAACTGCAGCTGTGTACCCGAGTCGCGTCAAATGAGCTCTTCAGAGAGGTTGGCAATAGATTTGTAATGTAGGTGAAATATGCATGACGACTCCATGCGAGAATTTGGGTAAACTGTAGAATAGAAAAACATGTGCCCCAGCACTGATTGTACTTGCTGCAGCCTCTGCATCAGATAACTGTCTAGAGAGCTGCATGAATTTCAGTCGATACCCTCTGTACTAGGAAAAAAGATTAAGAACATGCAATCAAGTAAAAGAAATTCAAACTTAGTTCAATCCAAATTTTTGTTGAAGAAATGCATTGGGTAGTGACCGTCAAGCGATGATGAATAGGAACCACCAATTAGAGACCCTTTTTACAAGCACATTTGCATTTATTCAGTTCACTCATAGTGAAATCTACTACCAAATCCTTAACAACGCCCAAAATCCTGTTTGGAATACCCCTTGACGGAGTTCATGCAAAGGAGGCTCCCTTGAAGCCACAGGACAGCCTGCAAGACGATGATGAAATACAACTCGTCGCAATTGCAGTCCAAGCAGCGTGAGGAGATCGACGAAGATGAGAATATTCCCTCCCGCGGGGGCGGTGAAGCTGTGCTCCGTGTTTTCCATCCATCCAAATCCTGTGCTGGTGGGTGATAACGCAGCCCTCAACTTCGAAGTTGGAGGGAAGTGGAAGAACATCGACACGAGAATCGAGTGTCGGTCTTGCAGCATTAGGTGATGCGAGGTTGATTTTGTTTGCTGATTATGGCGAACCCAAACTCACTGCTGCCTCGACTGAACGGTGCAAGTGGAGAATTCGTATGTTGGGTCCAACCCCGGCCGTGTATTTTGCAGTGTAGGAAACATCTCAGCCATAGCCTTAGACCTTATGAGCGCATTTCGAGTAGACAAGGATCATCGCTATGGTCTCCAGCAATCTCGTCGGGTTGGAGTTCCTCAACATTACCACAGCTAGGGAGAGCAATCAACGTGGGGATAAGATGCAAGGGCGCGAGCGGAGGCGATGTCCCGCCGGAGAGCAGGGAGGAGGCAATTGAGCAGGCTGCGGGGTCGGTTTCAGCCTTATTGGTGAAATCGCTGAAGCGGCAAGGTCCGACAACAGTGAAGCAGCGGAAAGAGCAGCGGCAAGTGAAACTACGGGTAGAAATTCCTGTTCTAGATGATTCTCCCTCCTCACTTATTTCTCTCACCCTCGAGCTCTTGTCAGCTCTTTTCAACGGGAAGCGAGAGGCTCCATCCGTGGCGGTGTTCCTTTCGGGCGAGTCGGCTGTAGTCTTAGCTCGAGAGAAATATGCCAACAGCGGGATTTCCAGTGTCAATAGGTTTTGTAATATACAGGCTGAATGTGAAGTTCCTGGAGATGAGTCCGTCATTGTGGTTGCGGGTGCGAGGTTTGAGGATGTTGCTTGTTTGCAAGAGCTGGCAAGAAACGTGACTCCAAGGCCGATTGTTGTCCTGAATCCTGAATGGTCACCCGAGGACGAGAAAGATGCGAAGTGGGGTGCTTTGCTGACATCTTTCGAAACAGCTTACGCGTTTCTCCCCCTTGCTATTCAAGGTTTCTTTAGTAAAACGGAGGGGGCGGTACTCAAAAATGTGCAAAGTGGAGCTCCAGGTGGAAGACCATGGCTTATCTTTCTCAAAGAGGATGGTAAATTTACACGTCTTAGCAGTCTCCAGCGTAAACCTGGCCCCGCAGAACTGGAATCTGCATTATACAATGCCATGGCAGCCAACTCTCCCATGACAAAATCCATCAAATTCCTCCGTGGACTCGTCTCAAAAGAATGATATCCTGATTACACCATCTTTGCAGGTTTTGACCATCTCATCTGTTTGTCTATGCCTACGCTTGTTTCAAAGTTAATTGTCTTGAAGGTCTGCGATGCCTTACTCAGTGCGGGATTGCATGCTTATCCCTCGAAAGGCATGCCCTACCTACGATGCTCTTGTAGTAACTCCACACGACAGTGTATAGCTTGATTATGCATGTATGTCTATGCTTTCGACGGTACCTCTCATCAACTCCTACAAACTCTTCCTGGCAAGAAGAGATTTTCTACCTCAAGGAACCAGCTGCAGTCAGCCGTTATCAAACTGTACCAGGTACAACTATCCATCTCCAACTCGTACCTTTGCAGACTTCGAAAGCATTACCACAATCACTGCAGTTGGGCATGAGCAGCAATTGTTACTGAGCTGATATCGCAGGCTTCTGCATGGTAGTAACCTCTTGTGAATTCCTTCATGTGTGGCTTCCAGTTATTGATGTTCCGCAATTCCTGGCATGTGTTGAATATTTCGCTGTTTGCATGGTAAGCTCGGAATCAATGGAGAGACGCATAAAATTAGAATCAGGTCAGTTGGGTCAAGATGGGAAACCATGAGTTATATTGCACTTGTGAGGCAATGTTGACAAGTGAAATGGCAGGATTTTCTCTAACACTGGTGAAGCTGGAGACTGATTTCTGTTTTGTTTGCAATGCTTTGGACAAGATTTTGCTTCAAGGCTTTGACAGTCGAAAGCAAGCAGTGTTCTTCATTCTCATTCTTTGTGGTAAACCCATTCTATGTAGAAAAGTCCGGAATAATAGGATTCATATGCCTTAATATTTATGAGAGATCGATTGTGATTCAAATTGAATACAGTGAACTTTCTGAATTTCAAAGATAAAATGAGAGTTTTACCTTAAAATTTGGTAGATTCAAATACAGTGATTTTTTTTAACAGATTTCTAATCCTCTTCCAATCTCCTCTTTCCAAAAAATAATCAAGTTCAAATTCTTCACAATACTATACCTCACACCAAACAATCCAAAAGCAGGTCTCTAGTACAACCAACATGATACTTGGAGAGGTAGTTTTGTGATTGGTTTCCAAAAAAATTGTATCCAAAATCACTCATAAATATGTTTTTGGTTAAATGAGGCTTAAAATTTAAAATATATCATTTAAAATTTATCTAATTAAGCAAATATGGAGATGAGGTCGTTTACTTTAAATTAGTTAGCATGATTTAAGAACAGTATACATTTAAGGGATACTTATGAAACTTATACACCAAACAATGATTGAAAAAAAATTAATTAAATTTTCATTTCGGATGATTTCAAAAAATTGAAACATCTTATTATAAAAGTTTTGACCAAAATAAAGCATTCTTAATTATAATATGCAATTGAATACAATAAAGGAAATAATTTTTTAAAAAACATAATAGTTGTGTTTTGAATGATGTATTAAAAAGTCAAATCAACACTAATTAAATCTTTTATGAAGCTTAAAGCTTCTATTGTAGGACTTGATAACATAATAAAAACATTATAAAAATTCAAGAACCACAAAACAAAAGTTCAAATAATATCTGTAAATATATCTATAGTGTGATAAACTTAAAATGTTTTAAATATATATTATTGTTTACTTGTGATTATAGTGTAAAAGATTAAATGCTCAAAGGTTTACTCTAAAATATAAAAAGACAAAAACACACTAGTTAAAAAAATTATAACATAAATTTTAGATTTTATATTTCTGATTTCTTTGTAATTTTTTTAATAATAGACCATATAATAACTAGAAATTATATATATATATATATATAGAGAGAGAGAGAGAGAGAGAGAGAGAAAAAAAAAAATGTATACTAATATGTAAAAAAGATCTACACAAGAAATCAAATAATAGTAATCTAATTACATACTTTTTGTTATTAAATTTTATATAAATACAATATTATGATGATTAATACATGTATCTATTTTTAATGTTACATGTTTAAGAATAAAATGATATCCTATTTTTAATATATGTATAATAATCTACTGCAAGTTATGCATGTAATTTTTATATTTTAATTTTTTACTTGAGTTAATTAAAACATGCAAAGGCCCTTCTAATGTAGGACATTGGAAATTTTGTCGTACATTGGTAAAATAGAACACAACTTGTCTTACTTGGCTTATATCAAATTTAATATAGGACACAAATGAATGTGAAGGTGAATAGAGCTACATAAGAAAGGCAACAATGTATTTAAAGCTTAAAAAACTACTTTTTGTTGTCATGTAATTGGAATCTTATAACTATGAGTTTAAAAAATATTTTCATATTTTCTTAATGAAGAACATAGTTTTTGATGATTTTATGACAAATGTCCTACATTAAAAAAATTGTCCTTCATTACAACGACTTGCATATGCACACATGCATCAAACATAAACTGTTTTAATTTGTAATTAAAAAAATATACATGTATACAAGTAAAATATGAGCTAATTTTTAAAGATTTTATTATAAATATATGATGCTACATACAAGATTTTAGTATTTACTTATGTAACTTGTTATAAAATATTATTATCATATTATTAAAAAGTTGATTAGTATGCTTAACTTCTTTATTACAAGTTGTAGTTATGATTGTTTATTATTGTTTACTCTTTAATTTAATGAATATTTATATCCATCCTACTGATCATGCCATTGTGTGTACATCTTCTATTTTAGAATTTAATGTTGTATGTAACAAAAATTTTGTCGATTTTATCTTCTTCTTTTTTCTTGAATATTTTAAACAATCAAGGTAGTGTTTTACTTTTATAAAACTTTAAGAGTAACATTATAAAATTTCTAGTAAGATGTTTTTTTATTAAATTATTACAAGCAGCATGTTTTGTACCATTCCCATCACAATACACAAAAATACTTAAAGTAAATGAGCTAAAAATGCAAGATTTGTTTTTAGAATATCAATAAATAAATAAATGAACCTACACTATTATTTCAAAATATCACTTCTTTTTTGTTACTTATATGTATCTTTATGTAGAATTATAGTATATATATAATTTTAAGATTATTAATATAAATTTAAAATTATATTGATACTATTTAATCTCTTATTATACGAAATAATTAATAATATGATTAAAATTAAAATTAAAGTTTATTATCTTATTAAACACAATGTTTTAATTATGTACATATACTTGCAAATCTTGTAGAATTTGAAATCGTACTCCTAATATTTCAACACAATGTTTTTATTTTTTTTATTTTTTTAATGTCAAATAAGAATTCATCGACAAAGATAAAATCCACTGATCCTCAATTGAACCACTTCTCTTCAACTCTTTCTATCCATCATTTCTTTTACTTCAATTCTTGCTATATATATATATATATATATATATATCATTCACTAAAGAGAATTGCTCCACCACCAAGTCCATCTCATACAAGAGTTTCATATTATGTAAGGCAAAGAGAGGAAAAAAAGTGTGGGGGCTCATCTCTTGCAATTCTCTTGTGGTAAAAAAAAATTAAAAAAATTAAAAAAATAAATGACACTCAAAACCCCCCTCCCTTGTTTGCGAATTGGCTAACTGGGTACTTGACCCCTAAATAAGACTAGAATAGTACATAATGTGCACAACTGAAATATTATAATGTATAGTATCCCCTTCCTGGAGCGTAGGCAGCAATGAGTTGTTGTCTAAGGGTCCACCATAGAAGACAATACAAGATACACAATTGGGAAAATTGCTTGCATTTCCCGTTGATTGCTAGCTTGCTAGCCCATGAGCATTGTGGCATTTCGCAAATGGAATCAATGATATGTATGCTTCACACACGGCGTTGCAAAGCAACAGCTTCAGGGAAAGAATCCGGGGACGAGGAGGCGGATCTCCGGGGAAGGCAGAAGGCGTATTCATCGCATGCGGCACACACATGTAGCAAAAGCGCCTTTTCGTCATGGCCTCGATGCACGAGCCTCACAGGATATATTGCCTCACGGCACTGCAACGCCATCGGATCAGCCTGCACTCATGGGTCCACTTCGGCTGCAGATTGCATCATTTATGATACAAGTTTCCAAAGGTTCCACTTTGATGTTCGCATAAAACCTGCTTAACTCACCCTCTTTTGTCTTGTCTTCAATCACAACGTTGAAAAGTATTCACAGAAATGCAGTGATGTTGTGCTCGGGGAATGAGTTACCAGTTTGGAAACTTATTAGTTCTCGTTTCACTTAGTCATCCAGCTCGGCCACCGTGTTAACCTGAAAATGGAAGAATCGAATTTTGGATTCGAGGATAAGAAAAGGTAGGAATTTGGTCCGGGGCCTTTGGTTGCCCGTTCTGCTGCAGTGCTCTCACACAGTGATCCTTCGTTTTGCCGCTAGGATCGACAATACCCAAGACTATTGTCGAGGTTTATGGAACTTCTTTCCAGTTTCAAATAGTGCCGAAACGGATTCGCAGATCCAGGGAGTGCCTTAGCTGGTTTCTGCACCATTGTCATCGACCATTCTGAAGAAACCGGTTCAGACTTGCTCACGGAGTGAGCTGAGCCCGAACGGTGACCTCATAGGTTGTGGTGCAGGTCAAGTGGTGAATGATCTGTGGGCACTCCCGCAAGTTGAGGTTGGACTTTGCATGCTGATGACGTGAGACGCGAGCCAATCTACCGAGTCATTGCGATGGGTCGATATTCCACTACACCTTCTGGCTTTGAAGGGCAGGATAGCACCTGCTCTCCGCTGATTCAGTACCCTTGGATCTAGAAGCAGAACTGAAATCTGGAATCTTTGCATCTGTATTAATGTGCGACTAGCGGACTGTTGCTTTGTGCATTGTATCCTTATGAACAAAAGTTGGAATGTAGGATGAGCTGCCTAGGGATAGGGATCTGTGGAGTACAAGACAGTGCAGGCGATGATGGAGAGTTTCTTCAATGCTTGCATTTCTCATTCATGTTCACTACAAACCCTGCAGCTGTACCCCCCCCCCCTTCTACCTTGAAGGTTTAGGTCATAGATGTGTCACTCTCTGCAGGGGGTGCAATCGTTCCATGTCACTTAGTGGTGATGCAATCTAATGCTCTAACCCCTCGGAAAATGTCTGAGCTATTCATGTATGTGTGTAAGAATTTGAGTGTTAACCGGTGCGTAATTGGAAAAACCTCTTGTGATCCCTGCATGATCTCCTTCAAGCCACTCTTCTAGCCCAATGCATATTCCCTACAGCTTCAAGCATACCTGATCGCTCTTCTATACATTCACTGCGTTTGATTGACTTCCTCAGAGTTTCGTGTCTAATATTCAGGTCTAATCGACAACAAAGAACGAATCTCAGGAATGAGGTGGAATTTGGGTTGTAAAGTGGGACTGAAGTATTGGACCAAATGTAGACCAACTTCATTCTCTCCATTTTGGTTCCTGCCAAGTTGCAATCTAATCCACCGTATCCACTTTGTCAAGGAGTAGATCAAGATTAAGACACAATGTGAATTCTTGTATGTAAGCTAGGACAAGCTACTGTGTGCAAATAGAGACAACTGTTTAAAGCTCTCATGAAATACTACACAGCTTCTAGTAGCTTCTTGCGGAGTGCCGGAGCTGGTTATAAGAAGCCCAGAAATCTGTAGGAGTGAATCACAACTTGGGGGGCGCTGAATTGTTCATACAAATACAGCACTTCGGCAGCTGATATTCGGAAGCAACTATTCCGTCAATGTCGGTGATACTCTGTAGCAATTTGGCTGCAACAGAGTTCAAATGAGAAACAATATAAGTGACCAGACCATTGGCATTTGCTTTAGCCTTCTGTCGCGCTCTTCAGTTGGTGCAGAACCCTCATCGTCTTCATTAAGGTCCAGTGTAGGGATTTGACAACAATAAAAGCCCACAAGTGTTGTACATGGAAATACGTAGCGTGTGAGACATGAATAATATATAGGTCAAACGGGATCTGTGGAATATTGAATCATATGTAAAGTGTCGCCTTTTAAAGTTCATGGATCGGAAGTTGAACACTGTGAAAAATTCTAGGTAAGTCTCCGATTTCCGTTTGGTAAAGGAGTTTGCCATGTGAGGCATCCGTCGCGCCTGCCAAGTTCCAGTTGTCCCAATGAAGCGATTGCTGGATGAAGGGACATGGACAAGCTCCAATCATACTCAAGCCCTGTCCTGGAGAGTGCTCGATGGCACCAAATGGTTAACTCCGATGTCGAAGCAGCAAGAGCCGAATAGTTCCGACTTCTCCTTCGCAGGGAATGCCTGCAACTTTTAGATCTTCCTCACACACTGTTTTTCAAAAGACAGGTCCAATCGGTCATCGAAAGCGATTTCACACGGAGTGTTGGAAAACTTCACACCCACTTTTGCGAGGGGGGTGGTGCACCTTCCAACGCTATTTTCAAGCTGGCTTTTCCTTTCTGTGAAGTGGGCAAAGATTCAGTACACCGTGGGAACGGTCCGGGTGCTGTCGTGCTGATCATGACAATAGTGGCTGCCTGACCCGTTAAACGATTCAGCATGCACTGGCACGTGCAGAGATTGATGGCGCAGAAGCTGTCCACCACAAGTGAATGATGAGACTCTCATGGCAGTCTTCTCCAACTGCCTCTTCTGACCCATACCGGGCAGAGAGAGAGAGAAAGGAAACCCCTACAGCGTGCAAACCGTGAGCCATTGCACACCCTCCACCTCAAGTTTTGTGCCTTGCAGTTCAGTCAATCTAGAGGAATTGGCTGGACTCACCTACGCCGAATCTGTGCCCAGAAACTCTTCTATATTATGCGTCAGGGTGCCTCTTTTTTTTATCCTTTCACCAGCACTGCTAATTTCGAAGATTCTAACGTAAATTTTAGGGTGGTATTACTGCAAGTTACATTCTATTGCTAACGATTGCGTTCTCACCATGAACACATCGTTGCTCCAACATCTGTTCGATGGTTTGCCCAATAGAGAGACCAAACAGAGGAATCCTTTTGAGGGCACATGATCGATTCATTGCAACCATTCCATGCACGAGATCTGCTGGGTGGGATTAGAGATAATAAACAGTGGAAAAAGCTTGCACTAGGATCTGATACTCTTGGAGTTCAGATCTCTAGAGGAGCCTAGGTTGGAGCGCAAGGGCTAAAATAGGCTGCAAAATCCTGGATCTCCACCAAGTGATAATGCAGACAAACCGACTGCCCATGCGGCGCTCCAGTGCGCTTGCCCAGAACTCTGCAGACTGACGAATGTAAGAATTATCCAACAACTCTGCGACTATTGACAGTTGTACACTAAGTTCACCAAGTACCGACACAAACTTGAAGAGAGGAATCAAAATGCAGTGCCATCGGAGTGAGGATTCTTTCGAAACGCAGGTATGTCCAAATAGTTGTTGAGCTGGGGCGTCCAGCTCAGTCTGAACAAATCCCGAAAGAACAAAACCAGCGTCATTGAGGGTTATATTTGAAGTGCAATTGCCGTTATCGAGCAAGTTGCAGGCTCCTCATAGTAAATGGTTTCGCGTCACCTTGCATAGTATCAACGAACTGGTCTTCACGGGGTCCTCGTCCACCAGGCAAGTGGTGGCTACCCACGCTCGTATACAGACCAGGCCCATGATTTCTGCAGTTCCAAATATCAGGACACGCTTTCAGCGGCATTCAATCGCCTCATGCCTGACAAGTGACATGTTGCCAGAAAATGGCGAGGGATCTACAAAGATGCACACTTGGGCTTCCCATCGATTCTTCAACTCGAAGCCCAATAAACACGATTCGTTGAACAGAATGTGTGATCAAATTCAATATCCACCTCACTTCACATCTCTCCTCGTTGACAGATCCTTAATCGTAAGGAAAACCATTGATTCTAGTGCAAGTTTTCGACTACGACTTCCAAGACTAAAAAATCGATTTCACGGGTCCCAGGAATGTTGGGCCAATTTAAGAACATAGGAGAAAAAACATGTGTCCGTTTCTTATAAGAAATTGCTGTCTGGGTGTATGTCTTGGAGCAAGGGTATCCCAACTAAAACTGGTGCACCCACCATACTCAAGAACAAATATATCAGTCCACATGAAAAATAGTAGGTCCTTTACCTGTTACATTGCTAGTCCGAGAGAACCTGCCTCAGATTAAAGCACTGGGACTACAATCTGCCTGCCGGAAGAGGTTGAAGCGGTCTGTAAGAGAAAAGTAGACAGCCTAACCTAACAAGCAAAATCGTTATAAAATCCTAAAGACAAATGACTACAAAGCTATCTGGGACCTGTTTTTCATTGATTTCCTTCTCACTCCATATAGCATTGGCAATGGAGGAATAGAGGGCGGGCGTATCAATGGCACACTCTGCTTCTTCACGGACTTTCCCGGCGCAGGAGCAACCATAGTAGTCTTCTCGGCAGTCTTTTTGGCAGCGAGGTACATTCTCGGCTTGCGTGTGCTTCGGGATTGTCGACCAAGCTCTGCCATGGACTTTAACAATGCCTGACCTCCCTCTGCTTCGGAGTGTATGTCCTCTGTGGATTGAACGTTGTTGCTATCTGCCAGTGAACCATTATTATGGGCATCACTCCTCGTTCTGATAATCCGATCAGTGGAACCAACATTGCTCTTATTCACAGGAGCTGGCGCGGAAGCCTCGTCAATCTGGGTACCGTGTTCTCCTTTGTCAATGGAGTTTCCAGCTGGTTTGTTAAGGTCGTGTAGCTGGTCCATCACAGGATTTTTTCGTGTCCCTCTTTCCAGCTTATTTTCCTGTAGAGGATGTTTCCCTGCGGCCTGGCGTTTCGCATTTTTGTAGCGGGCCTTCTTTCTCTCACTCAGAAAATTGTGGTGCTTGCAGAGGGATTTACCTTCCATGGCCATCATTGGACACTGCCACTTGGAATGATTGTTGCTGCCATCCTTTCTGGAGCATCTCACTCCGTTCTGAACCCCTTGCTCCGCTACGATCCTAGCCTGCATTGCCTTCAACGACCCTGGAACAGCTCCCGCAATAAAACGGACGTTGCTTGGTTCAAGGCCATCGCCATGAATTAGAGACTTCCTCTTCTTGGACTCCCGAATTGATGCGGATGCTGGCTCTGCCTCTGCGGGGGTTGCCATACGAACATCTGATTTGGATGCGGTTGACAGTTCGTCTGTGCTTCGATCCTCACAAATTTCTTCAACCTTTTGCGTCTTCTGAAACTCCACAACCGACTCATTCAACACCGCCTCAATGGTCCTTTCGTAAGCTTTTCTCCTGGTCTGTACTCCTATTAGTCAGGAAAGACAGTAACAAACATTGAGTGCTCTCTTCCGCAAAATTGTTCAAATGCAGAAGCGAGAGCAATGAAACATTCATCAGAGCTGATTTTATCAAGCGTGTGATCGTAAATTTGTGGTCGTAATTTATACCTTCAAGCTCATTGTTGACCACAGATGGATCCAGACTTGACAGAACGGTGTCGCAATCAACCTGTCTAGACTTGGAATCTGCAGAAGCCAATCTCCGAGAGGCTTTGGGTTCTTCGTTGAGATCAAATAAGTCCGCCACATGACCATCAGCACCAGATTTCGAAGCCTTAGGGACTTTTTGAGGCGTTTCACAGAGAAAATAACGAGCCTTCGCTCCCAATCTGAAGTAGGGACTGCTTTTGAGATAATCCTTCACACGCTCCCTCCAGTTCCTCCCAAGGCTGGAAAATCTTGTCTGCGTCGCAAAGCTGGCAAAAATTTCCTTCAAAGTCATGCCTTCCTTGTCAGCTGCTAAGAGCTGCAGATACAAGCAATGTAGCAATGACCCTTCTGGTTCCTGCAACGGGTGGCTAGGATGTTCACTTCGACAACGAGGTTCACCTCTGCTGGGATTACATCTCCTCTGCGTAACCTGCAACGCTCACATGTTTTAACACTCAAATCACTACAGGGTTTAAGTTGTTGCAAAACAACAGCTGAATTGGCACATTGCAGTCCTACCATTTCCTTTAACATCTACAATTAGCACCATGAGGAGGCTCTAGTCAAAGGATTATGAACCCGCAGTACAAAACTGTCAGAACATACTGTAACCAAACCTCAAGTGTTTTTCCCAAACTACGGTTGGTCATGAGAATTGACCACAAGGGCTGTCAACTTTAAGAATTCGACAGTCTATATATAGGGAGCCTCGTAATCGAAATAAGTAGAATTGCTGTGATACTACCATGAAATCGCAAATAACATCTCTCAATTGAACCTTTTTTTCCAACTCCAGTGGAGGTTCCAGTCTAGTATATACTTTTTACTTCCACAATAACATCCCCTTCATATACTAATTGCAAACGTAACATGTAATAGTGATTAGTGTCTTCACTGCTTTCAAAATAACTGCTGGAGCTCCGGAATCTGCGGAAATATTCTAGCATGAACATAATCATAGCAAGAATCTAAGACTCATATACCTTTCACTCTTTCACTCTTCCACAGCACCGCATTTCTGGACTGAAAGTTGTGACTACGACTGCGGAAGTTGTAGCAGATACGTGACTCACAATAAACATTTCTGCAAATGGCTCTAAACTTTTCCGTGTTACCAGGACAAAGTCACTCAAGAACCAATGACACTCCACAAGAAAAGAGTCCAATCTCTAGATTTGTGCTTCCCATTGCAAGGGAAATCTTCAACTAATCCCTGCAATACCCAGTAGGTCATGGCTGAGGGCCTACAATGTAAACTCTAGTTCATAAACTAAAACGTTAAGGATATTGCACTAAAAGGTTTTCGAGTCAATTATATCCAAAAGGAGGCAAAAGGTTCAGAGTCCAGACGTGAAGAATGAAAAAAGAAAAGAAGGTAATACTGTTTTCAACTCGAAATCTACACCCAGAAATGATTTCAGGCAACTCTGAACTGAGCGATTATGAATTCAAAAGTCAACAAGCTATCCACTTATGCAGAATGAATGGCGACCTGGATTGCCAATCGGCATGGGAAGTTGCCCCTACAGATTCTTGTCACAAGTTAGGTCATCATCAAGTATTTAACGGAACAATTCATCACCATGGTCATACCTTAGCAGCATGGGAAGCAAAAACCACATTCCCGTTGCTGTAACCGTTTCCAGACTGCACTACTAATGTGCCACCACCTGCACTTCGTGAACTACGCCGTGCATACTTCCTCCTGGTATTTAAATTGTGATCCTGCTCCAGTGTCCAGTCCCCGCAGGATCCTGAGTTGGACTGTTCCAGAGACTCATGCGTCTGATCACCTTCTGAGGGTGATCCTTGAGCGCCCATGTCTGCCTCTCCCACCAAATTATTAGCAGGACCTTGGTGACAACCCAGTGCTCCATCCTGCGAAGTCGACGTCGTCCGAGCGTCTATCTGCTTGGTTGGAGGACTGGAATCACCAAAAAGAGACTTCCCCAGCAGTAATCTACCCCCGTTCTCAGTCTCCAATGAAATCTGTCTGGAAAACCTGTCCCCTTCCGAAGTCTCCAGCAGCGGGGAGCCTCCCGCTGATTCCAGGTCCAATACCTTTTGTACTTGCTTTCTAATCTTCATACTTATCTAACCTAAAGGCGCTAATGGGAAGGGGTAAAAATAAAAATAAAATAAAAAGTGTTTAAGTTCCAGAGATAAGAAGTGAGGCAAGACGAGGAGCTGACCACGCAGATTGGTGTAAGTCAGAATGCATGGCGCTTGTGACGATGGGGGACGGTGTCATTGGACGTGCAATGTAAATATGCCGCCAGCTCCCTGAGTTACGCGTCGCTGCGTTATTACAGTACAATAGGTGGGACCCAGGCAGAGAAGCTAAGAACAGGTGGTTGCGGTAAAAGCTGCAAGCGCTGGATACACGCCGGTGTGCAACGCACTAAGTTTGTACATGCCCATCGTGCAACTCATCTAAGCATTTGAAACGAGCAAAGTAGCCACTTAGAACTACATACCCCCACTGTTCAAATCAGCAAGAGAGACAACCTGAAAATTTGAGAACACGCACCTCAACTGGACCAGCATAAGCTTCAGACTTGACCCAGACATAATATTAAAGCGCCATCTGATCTTGCAACCGCGTCGAGCATCATGCAGTACCAAACTTAAGAGCACTATGATCTTGTAGTTGACGGCGCGATGACACACAGGTGACGAAGCGAGCAAGGAGTTCTACAGCGTAAAGTCACACGGCTCTAATTTCCAAATACCACGAACCAAGAGCACATAACAATTGGCGCTACAGAAGCAGAGAACCACAAGCTCGGAGTCACCTTGTGATGCACTAGCAGAGCTCAAAAGCATCAGAGCAGCCTGAGAGAGACAGAAATATTATATTGAACCACCGGAGTAGGGTTCCAGAACCGCCCACAAAGAATAGTCCAGGAAAACTTCAGTACCCTGCACTATCGGAATATGGAATATCTGGTCCTCAATTAGTATGCTGCCAGAAAGCTTCTACAGTACACACTAAACTGGTGCGTGTAGCGAACGGCAAGCCTCGAGCAAAGGCTTCAAACCCCAACTGGTCCAGACAAAACCTGGACTAACACAACTGGAAAACTGCAACTTGACGACTACCGGGACTCGAGGAAAACCCACCCTACTAGCAACAAGCTCGTGATTGGTCCCGCAGAAACGTCACCTATCCTATGCAATCTCTGTTGCATGCCACTCTCCTTGGATTTCTAGATCCAGAGCCGGACAAGGCCCATGTTATCTGCGGCCACCAAGGGATTGCACGAAAGGATCCCAGCTACTGACCGACCGTCGCAATAAGTTACTATTGTTTTTTCTTACACGGTAGCTCACAATCTAGGGTACCAGGACACGATCATGGCAGTTAACGTAGAAGCGCAACATACGACAGCATGAAAGGAAAGTAGGGGCGAAAAAAGCAAGTGTTGATTCAGAAGTGGCGAAGTACAACGCGCCCTTCCCCCCGCCCACTCACCCCCCTAACTGGCGACTCGACCTCTCAGAAACCACTAAGCATCTTCAACAGCTCCCCGCTTCAGATCACTCCAGGTCGCTCCAGGACCCAGAATCGAGAAGCTGGATCAAATCGGACCGGACCGGAACAGACCAAACCAGCAGCGCCTACGGTACACGAGTCGCGACAAGAAAACAAATGTCACCCACCATGGCATGGCAATGGACATCTCTCCATTGTCCCACTTCAATCGGTCTGTGATCTGGAACAGTGCCTGCGCCTGCCGCAAGTGCATGCGGCCAGAATGTGCGGTGGAATACCAGCGGTGTGGACGCTGCGTAATGAATGAACCCACAGTGCCGGAATTTCCGAGCTGAGGTAAACTTACTTACATACCCGGTGCATCGGGGACGATGCCGGCAATCACCCCGGCTCTCTCAATCTCTCTCTCTGGATGGGGCGCACCTTTTCCCCTCCCCTTTCCCTGTTCTTTTTCTACTGTTTCCTTTTCATCTTCCCATAATTCTAAGCCAATATTCTCCCAGTGAACTGTTACTACTACAAACACAATAATATTCACGATTACTGCGCACCGATGTGTTCGAGCCATTCCTTGACCTGTTTATTCCAGCAGCGATGGCCGAAGAGGTCCAAACCACATGGACCCAATTGAGATCGATGTACTTACCGCATCACAGAGTGTGCGTTTCTGGCAAACAACAGGCCTAGCAGCATCACCAGCAGCAGTAGATGCAGCAGCGAGCCTTTTTCATCAATGATTGTGTTACATCGGAGGGAGATTAAGGGATCATGGAGGTTTGGCTCTCATTTCGAGTGGTGGCCCGTAACTACCTGGTGGAGGAACTGCCTCCTTCCCTCCCTGCAGCTGGCCCCCAGCTGTGGTGCGGTGAGCTTTTCTTTGCATTGCATTGCTCTGCGTTTACCCTAATGGTTGCCGGTTTATTAGTTCAGTAAAGATAAGCGTCGCACATTGTGTGTTTTTTTCTGGTGTTATTTATTTGGCTTTAGGCGTCATCGCCATTAATTTACTAACAGCAACTGAGGTGCTGGACCCAGTCTGCAATCATCAACAGCGGCAGCGGCATTGTTCCTTCATCCTCAGCTTCCAGCTTCTCCCCCTTCCCATCCCACTGCTTTAAATGTAAAGTGGTAACCAGGACACGACCAAAGTGACATCTCAACATTTATGCACTTTTGGATTCGTGATCTAATATCTTCAAAGTGTAAGACCTGCAGTAATCAATCCCTTGTGTTTGAGGTTGAAACCCTAATTCTTCTACATACTAATGAAGATATCTGTACACATAAAACACCAATCTGTGCACGACAAAATTCTTACCATTACTGATTAGTGAGAACTGGGTCCAAATTCTATGCACTTTTTTGTAATTGCACTTTTTTGTTTCATACAATGTGTAATAGATCATGGGCATGTGTAAAGTTGAGACTTTTCTTTTGCATTGTCAGGCGACAGGTGAGACAATACAGGTCACATGAGTAATATTCATATTTTGTGGTTAACTTATAGTTTAAAAAAACAAAAAAAAAAAAAAAAAAAAAAAAAAAGATGAAAAAATTAATATAAATATTAAGCAACCATGTGCTCATATGAAGCAATAATATTCACTAATACACAATGGAAGTAAATCAACCAGTAATTCATCAATCTCTACTTTGTTGAGATGAGCAAAAATATAGGCACATGAAGACTTGATTACATTTATATTTATATTTATATATGGAAATTGATATTTTTATTGATTTTTTACATAATTCATCATCTTGGAAACCCTCATGGTTATTTAATTCAAAAAATGTTTTTGTAAATTATATAACATAATAGAGTAATAAAAAGTTGAAATTCTCAATACATTTAAATAGAATATAATATAATATGTTAATATTATGAATGTTTTAATGAAATACTATTTTTTATTTTGTTCTGGAAATGATGTAGAATTTATAGATTCTAAATGAAAAAAAATAATCAATGTCAGACATGTGTCGTATCCTTACAATCAAGTCTAAGGGTTCATACTTGAAAAAACTTGAACTTCATTTTCAAAATTTAAAATTTAAAAATAAAAAATAAAAAATTAAATGATACTCTCATCCGAAATTGAAGGAGAAATAATTGAATGATATTGATATGAACTTTGAGTAAAGCAGAAAAAAGATTCTACATTGCTCAAAGGTATTAGTAAAGAGGAACTCATGAATACACAGAAGCATTTTTTTTTTATATATAAATATATTTATATTTCAAAAGTGAAAAAAATCACAAATGTGAACATTTTATATATTTTAAATCTTCATACTTCACATTAGTCTTAATTCATTTTTTCAAAAAACACATACACACTTCAACCATTTGGTGGTGAATTGTGAGAAACTGGCTTTGATGATACAGTTTTTGCAAATCCACATAATAAGAAATGACACTTAAGGAATCAGAACTTGTTAGAGACATTCAAAACAATCAATGAACACAAACAAATTGAAGTACAAAATTAATCAGTTTTTCTTCACTTTTGAAACCATAGTAATAAGATCACCAACCATGATTTCAATAATTAGATTAAACTTTTTCAAGAATTTTTCTGTAGAAAATAAAATATTAAATAATAATTTGTGTGAGCAATTGAGTGTTTTTGTTATTAGTTAAGGCAGTTGCACCAAAATGTCCTCTTAATCATCATTCCAAAACCGATTATTTTGTTTTCATTGTATTAATCATTGTTCACAAAAGACTTCCAGGGATTTTCATGAGTTACAATTCTTTCTTTTACTCACCAATTATCATCTTGTTTTCATGAAATATTGTAAAATATAATTTTGAAAAATCTGACATAGAAACATTATAATCAAATTTTACTCTGCATTTATTTATTTATTTATTTATTTATTTTCAATATAGATATACAACTAAATCCTTGAAATTGGCATCAAATTCTCACATACCATTGTTTGAAAACATTTTTTTTCTTTTTTCTTTTCAGTCATTATTTTATTAAACATCTTAGAGTCTCATGTTTAATATGTCAGTCTTAGAATTCTTTCAATATCTTCTACACGCTACTTATCCACCATCACCTATATCTTTACAGTCACTTAATTTTTATGCCCAATTTATTCTATGATAAACATAAATCTATACAATTATTTACATACTTATGTTGGTATAGTTGTTTGTTGGATATTAAAATTATGCCAAGACTTTGAACTATCAATTGGTTAACATCTCAATTGAGCAATTCAAAACAAGCCCAAATGGTTCATAAGATTAATGAACAACTTTAACTTATGATTATTATTATGACAACTATCAGAATGCTACTAACATAAAAATAAAAAATAAAAAATAAATAAAAAAAAACAGGTCAGTTTGCTTGCTATGAATGGGTTGATTCCCACTTCGTACTTCATTCATTTGTTCACATATGTGTTCATATGATAGTGTTGTGTACTTCTGTACCAATTCCCTGTGCCCACCCTAAAAGACCAAGCTCAGCACCCTTCTCATGGTATGCAGGTATTTATAGCAAAGAAGTTATTTCTTTATTAAATAATATCTAAGAGAATGTAAAAAATAATTATTTGACAAATATGCAAGTATCGGTGAAACAAAAAATGAAGAAACAAATCAATGGATGATCTGTAAGAGAGGAACCACAATTGTCTTATGTTTGATTTTTTGTACATCAAAGTTCTCAAAGGTTGAATAACTTCCAGTACCTGTCTTTGTGGAGGTTGAAATACCCCATTTCAAAACTGTTTCTCTTTAATAAAATAAATGATATCAACCAAATATAAATAAAATAATCTAGCCACCACCAGTGGGAGTTGTGCTGTAGAATGCTGATGCTTTGCAGCAAACAACCCACACTTGTTATTTTTACTACAAAATGTAATCACACACCTGTTTGTCTCCTACAACATAGATATACTTTCCTTATATGTATATATATATATACCTGAATTTACATCAACACTTTCCATGAGAGGTTCAACTACACAAACTTTCCAATCACAGCAATCTCTACAAGAATTTTAATCACTTCCTGTAGACCATTCTGGAAACCAATGTCAAATTGTAAAATCCAACGTGTTATTTTACATATTTTTTCTTCACAAAGGAAAATCTTTTGAATAGCAGCAAGGGTCAACTCACATGATGGGATGTTGTATTATATATGATCACGGGGGGGTACTTTGACCTTAGTTTACAAAGAGAGAAAAAGGACATCTTCATACTATTCTCTTTTTTCTCAAAAGGTACAACACACACCCCTTCTTCTTGTCTCTCAATTTATTAAACATATATCTATATATCTAAATATATATCAAAACGAACAAGGCCTGATTTCTATAGAGAATAGGACAAATCCATTGCCTCTCCCAAAAGATGGATGGGCTGCCAATTACTCCTAAGTTTGAATTGGTTTGCTTTAACCACTAGTTGAACAACTTCAGGGTTTTTTTTATGATGGGATCAACCAGAATGGCACAGAAATTAGAACTATTACGGCAACAACAGCAACAACAGCAACATTAGTAATGTCAATACCAACACTACTGTTACCCTAAAACCAGTTGCTTTACTTTTTCTGGGTACTGGGTCAGTGTCATGTGCAGAAGCTTTCTTTAGTTCTTCTGTCAATTAGCTGCCTTTTAATGTTAAAAGTGAGAGCATCTGAGAAAAAGTGAAGGTTCTCATCATTCCCACTACCTACCTTTCCACATCCCACTTTCTCTCTCTCTCTTCCATCCAAAGTCACGATCCACACACACACACACACACTCACTGCCTTTTCATAATTGTAACCACCCCCTGATCTCCTCCTCGAAGCACTGGAAGCCAGTTTGATGTTAAAATAACAGATACAACACAAAAGAAAAATATTGGTCGCTTGTACACCAGAATTCATATACAGGTACATAGCAATTGAGAGTTTTTAACACAAAGACACAGAGAATGAACAATGGTAAGGATAAGAATAATAGTAATAAGAATACTACGAAGAAGAATAAGAATGGATGGATGTGAGTGAGAGTGAAGATGGTTTGCTGCGGTCAAGCAAAGGGCAATAATAATAATTTCCCGTTTTTGCTGCTAGAGATGATTAACGTGCATACTCTCATAGACCAAATCATCGGGTGAGGGTCAGGCCACCAGGGCGGGTTGTGAGACAAACCACCGCACCGCATCGCATCGCACAACATATCGGCACAGCATTGTGGATTGTCTGCTGCTGCCGGGGCGGCACCGACCCAGGATTGCGGGGCTTCAGCTATGGAGTTAGTTTCCATCCTTCTTAGCTTTCTTTCTTTCCTTCCTTCCTACCTTCCAAAGAGAGAGAGAGGGGGAGAGCCCGATCACACGGGTGACTTACTCGCATCAACCTCGTCGTTAGCACACAACAAAACAGCACAACGGCGCCGAAGTGCAAGTAGCAGCAGCAGCATCTGACCCACCCACTGACCCACCAGCACCCGCACAACATGCGCTACCACCGTCCCTCCTGGACCCTTTTCTTCACGTCCATGGTGCCCCAGTCGGCAATATTATATATATATATATATATATACATATACAGATAAATTTAGGGGAATATTAAATAGACCCAGGCTTTTACTACATTGATATGCTCATCTTCACTGGATCTGAAAGCAATGAAAATCAACAATGTTCATCATGATTACCATATTCTTCGTAATGGATAGGTCAATTTTGAAAAAACTTGGGTCTAGTTAACATTCTCCAATATATATATATATATATATGTATATATATTTCATTCATTCATTCATTCAGTCATTCTACTCTACAGTGTAACTACACTTCTTCTTTGAAGATCTTGGTATTGTGTTGATTCTAAATTATAGAAGTACAAGTTTCTACTATATATGGCTATGATATCCTTGTATTGCTTGTTTTTAGTTTACAAAGCTAAAAATTATTTTTAATATTTTAAGAATACATGAAAAATACTCTTTATTTATAATTATGTATGTATTTTTTATATCCATGTATTTACAACTATCTTTTATGCTGAATATGTTGAATTAGATTAGATCAATTTTTTGGTTTTTGTTTTTTATTTTATTTACTTGTCTATTTTAAACATAATCTTCAGCTTATTTGGAATTAAAAATGAAAGATTTTAAATTTTTTGGTGATTTGTATAGGTATAGACACAATTAAACATCAAATAGAATTCAATCTCTTTTGATATTATATCTATCTAAGTTATGTGATTTTTTTTGATGGAGGTTCTTTGGATCCTATTTAAGTTACTTTAAGGAAAATACTATAGAGAATTAAATACCTTTAAATCTAATGATTTTATATATAAAGATATATAATCAATATGTAAGATTATACAATCATAAATGTAGACAATCAACTCTTGTTATAATTAACCTCATTAAAGTCAATTTTGGATTATAGTCAATTCATTTTTTCAATTTCAATCTACACTACTAAAAGTAACTTACACTAAATAGTCAACACTATACATTCAACTATACTTCATAGTCAATAGTTTCTTTGGTTCAAGAGGTTGATTACAAAGAAGGCTAATTCTATGTATAAATATATATAGATATACATAAAACTAAATAAATATATAAAAAACTAACTAAATAAATAAAATATTAATATATATAACCATAATTATAATTTTATTGCTTATATGATTTAATAAAAAAATTCTATAAAAATTGATTAATATAAATTAATGCAAATTATATTGATTCTAGTTGCACAAGGTATTATAACAAATTAAAAAACATCTATATTTACAATAAATATTTTATTTTTACTAAAATCTAATATATTACTAAAAATAATCTATATAACATGTTTTATATATTATATTAAAAACCTAGAGATTAATGATAAAACATCTAGAACCATACTATTGACATTTAAGAGTGGTACATCAAAGTTCTTACATAAAAATTTCCAAATATTGTCATAATTCATGTTGTGACTTTAAAACTTTTTTAGATGTAGTTATTTGAGAATTTATTTTTTGTAATATATTGCATAAATACTAATTTTAAACATATTCATTAAGAAATTGATGTATGTTTTTATTGTGATTATTATTTACAGTGATTTGTTTAAAGTACTTGCAAATGTAGTTTTTTTTTCAATAAAATATTTCTCAATATATCAACTCGATTTAAATTGGTCTGAAGGAACAACTAATGCAGAAACTGATGAACTTGTTTCACGAATTCTTAATGCTGTGTACATTGACTAATCAAATTCTCATTCAGATCAAACCTTGAATCGTTTACACTTGATTGACGAAATCTACATGTTTGTTCAAAAAGTTAAACAATTAAAAGAATATTCAAATGTTGTTGAGATACATGATGCTTCTATAAACTTTTCAAAGGTTTTAAGAGGGGGTTACGTGCATTAGATGTACATTCAAAGGTTGAATATGCTTCAGATAGACTTCAGATGTGTGTTTTACACCTACCTCTATAGCAGTTTCTTCAATCCTCATTTGCACAAAGTCTCTGAAATACAGCATAGATCTGAGTTCAGTTCCACGATCAGTTCGTACACAACTTTTGAAGCTAAAACTCTCCTCATGCAACTGATTGTATGACCAAAATTGTTGTCAGCCACAAAGAATCCACCGGGTCTTTCAAGTGTCAGAAGCAGCAACTACCTTTTTTCCACTCTCATCTGCAAGCTTGCCCACAATTGCTCTACAGGATGCCGGTGCCTTCAACAAAGTGATGAGAAATGAGGGTAAGAGTCATCAGTGTTGCATCCTTCTTCTCGATGCGTAGTTTTGGGATATACAGAAGTGTCACTCAGTGTCACTTCTTCCTCGCACCCAACAAACACTCACTCAATAACCAGCAGCTCTAACGCACACACAGAGCGCTCAAACTGGAATCCCAAGAGTTACCCTGCCCGATCTCACCGGCAGATTTGTGTATAAATCTTTGGTGCAGAAGTACCTCTTCCAATGCTTAACATGATAAACCAAGGATTGGACACCGTTACTTAGCCTTCAACAACAGACAGAATGTTTGCACGCGACGAACCTGATTTCGACACAGCGAAATAGTGGACGTGCAGTCAATCATGCCGTGCAGGCAAACGGTGAAACATGGCGCATGGAAGCTTCACTTCTCATGAGTCTCAGCAAATGCAGTCACAGATTTAAATACCGTCGTCTGCTAAGTCTTTGTCAACTGTTCATTCGTGACGACCTCTCATGCAATCACCTAGTTTGTATAAAGGTCAAACTCATCTTAGAGAGATTTGTTCTAATGACCATTTCTCCTTTGTGTTTGTATGGCCCGGCACACTGACGTAATTGCTGCACACGCACAACCCCATCTCAAACAAATTGCGCAGGTCTGTAAAGGTGAATCTTCTGAGCCCCGAGCCAGACGCACCGCCTAAGCTCAGAGGAAAGTGTCCCTTCCCGCTGCCAATTAGCGGCCACGGAGCTTCTATCACGAGGAGAAAAAGTCAAGAAAATATTCCTCCCCGCTAGAAAGGTACGCTTCAAATCCTGTGCCAAAAGAAAGAAAAAAAAGAAGAAGATAGACCCACGTTGAAACGCATGCAGAATTTTGGTTCAAAGTCCATGTGGTATCACATGAGCTTTTGCATTCAAAAATAGACGGGGAAGAAAAACAAAAAAACAAAACACTGATCAGCACCAGTGGGGTATGCGTCACATGGGTTCTCACAGTACTAAAGCGACACGCCTGAGCCCGCCGCACCCGTTCAACGCAAGTGAAGCTTTTTCCTCTGTAGCTATCGCTCACCCCAGACCGACCCAACGTGTGCCGAATCTACTGCAGTAGGCGCAATAATTTCTCTGCAACACGTGCGACTCCGAACCAAGGCGCCAGCCACTGTAGCAAAGCTCATGAACCAGGGAACGGCATCACCGTCACATTGCAGGAACATCGAAGCTCATCCGTGGGGTCTGCATGTTGTAGGCGTTGCAAGGATCCTCCACACATTGTAGCTGCAGTAATGAGCAAGATAGATAAGGCGCAATGGTGAATGGATCCCCCCCCACCACCACCAGCACATCATCATCATCATCATCATCCATCGTTGCAAGCAAGCAAGCATTCCAGCGTCGTCGAGATGGTGCAGTGAGTGAAAGGTGCACACACACACTCCCTTCCTTCGCAATGCTCATTCTCAGCAGGCTTAGCCAAGCAGTTCCTAATTGGACGACAAGGTGGAAGACGATCCACTAGCAACATCAACCGGGCCTCGACAGCAGCCAGCCATTCATATCAACAGGGCATCAGTAATTACAACTCCCGGCCCTCAATAACAACATGACCTCGCTGACATCTTCTTCTTCATGTCTATGTTAATGTATGAATGTCTGTTTGTATGTGTGTATGTATGTATATACAGTATAGTATTTTCTCCGTATTAGTAAATGAAAGAGAGGCAATTTCTATTATTAAAGGTTCAGAATTATGATTCTAGTGCTATGCATGTTTTAATTGGTAGATCAATTTTTATTAATTGTGAAAAGTTCATGACAATGTTGTAATCAAACAACCCATTAATAGCACATTAAAAACTATGCAAAAGCGTCATTCCTGTCTCTAGATTTTATACCACTTTAGGGTGCTTGCTTCGATGTGTTGTTTCTCGCTCTGATGGTGGTGGATCCCACCGCCGGCTCCACCATCGCGTCAGCGAGAACCTGTTTTTTGTCTGACGATATTCATCTTCTGTCCGCTCCTCCATGAACCCGAGCTTGAGATTCTGGTTTGTGCGGCATTCAGTTCAAGGCAACAGGCCTTTGCAGAGATGTGTGCGTTCCTAGTTTTTGAAGCTATGTTGCGACGATGAGGATTTCCGTGGGTAGGTCTTTTATTTGTTAGACTCAGTATCTTAGCGTGCGTAGAATACTCTGTTGCATGTTTTGTTGGGAAGAGACTCGGTTAGGAGAATTATTCCAGCTATGGCGCATTACTGGGCTTCTTGTGCGGGCGGACTCCAGTTTGCACTCGTCAAAGAGGTTTGGACCTGTTGTTTTTAATTTTTTTTTAATTTTTTGATTTTTTAATCTTTGGTTTATTTTCTTGATTTGAATGAGGGTAAATCCCTCTTGATGTCGAATGTAAACAGCGTAGTTGTCGCAAGTCGAATTTCAGCACTGAGTAAATTCTGGGTCCTTAGCCCTAAAATGTGCATTTAGACTCTCATGAAAGTCGATCTTTCGAATGTCAAATGCGATCAATTCTCTTTGTTCAAATCCTCTTTTAGATAGACAGGCTTTGCTATGCAATAGGAGCTGAATTAGGCCCTTCTATCATTTGGCTTGTGATGATTAGCTCACAATTATGCATGCAGTTGGAAAATCTTGAAGGAACAAGTATAATCCCTGGCATTGATACCTATGGAGGCGTACAGTTTCGAACAACGTCACCCCTTCAGGTATGTGACAGAAGTCGTTGGTCGCCAATCGGAATTTGTGGTTTCTTAACGATTTTCGAGAGGACTGTTAGACTGATCTAAATCTAAAGTTGCTCCTGGCAACTGGTATAGAATCGTGTGCAGGGGTTGTGGCTGCTTTCCTGTGCTTTCTACGAGGAACCCTTCACAATTCTTTCCACAAGCATAAACATACCATTATTTTAATGCTGTGCTAAGCAGCTAGTTTGCGATATGATACACAATTCTTCGTTCCTCTTTAGCCTGCATCGTTGAATTCATCTGTCATCTAGATATTTTCTGCTGTTTCTTCTATCCATCCATGAATTTTTTTTTGAATAATATAGGTCCCTTCGTTGGCTTGCATTGAGATTTTTGTACTATTGTTTAGTGTACAATTTTAACGATTAATTCTTTTCTGATGCAGAAAGTTGCAGAGTTAAGATCTGCTGATAACGTGTATGCCTTTCTATCCCATGAAAAGGTACTCAACCGTGCGCATCACCTTCTTGTCAACCGAACGTATGTTTCTGGAAGAGCATCACCCGACACGTTCTAACAACGCGTTCATTTAGATGCTTCACACGTTCTATGTTGGGAACGTGATATGTTTACGTGATTGATGGGGTATGTGGTATTTGCAGAATATTCCTGTGGACAAGGAAGTAGGTGTGGCTTTCATGCAGTCTCTAGCGAGCAAGGTAATAGTTTTAAACTGTTGTTGCACATGATGCTGTATACAACTTCATCAACTTGCTGCAGAGATGACCTCATTTCACTCCCTTTCCTACTTATAATTACACGTTTGCATGTTTTTATCACACACTTATGTGATGTCTGCAGGTATTTAAGTGATTTAAGCGTACACATTGGACAAATAGCTGCACTGGTTAATGCACTGAACTATCTAATGCATACAGATCGACTGGGGGCCTGTCATGCAACTTCACAAACAGTGGCAGGAAGCAGAAGAAACCTGTTCCACATCTAGAACTAGCGATCCTCTTTTGACAATGAACGGAATTACAAATACCGATCAAACGTGTGAAGTTACACAGATGTCCTTCCGAGTGACAGGAAACAGAATTTGCATGAACATGAAGAAGCATGGCTACACCTCTATGGATGTTGCAGGTAACCTTTCATGGACATTTTGAGTAAATTCACTATTGATCACGTAACAGCATCCTGTCAACAGCTGAATCATTTAGCAGTACAATGTATTTTCAACCACTGTAAGTGGCTCTTCGTGTTCATATTGCAGGGTTTCTTGTGTAGATAACTTATGATTTGTGTGAAATTGAATCATCAGTCTCAAACAGGCTAAATCCAGTCTATGCTGTTTTGAAAAAAAAAAAAAAATTTTGTGCAGCTGCCATTGGGGATGGCATTCACGAGTTGCACGGATGGCCAGCTGACATGAGAAGCTATAATGGTTAGTGTTTTGTCTATGATCGATTTGTTCTGATTGGATTTTGTTGAAATGCAATTTGGAATGTAATTTACGTGGATGTGGTTAAGCTTGTACATTTTCTCAGATGGCTGAAATATCATAACTGGTAAAACATCAGTAACAAGAGAAGGGTCTTAATTTTTTCATTCATTTATATCGTGGTTTAGTGTTTTAAAAGCTAGTTTGGGTTTACATGAGCAATACGTCATACAATTGTTTTCGTGGATGGTGACGCAGTAGAAGTTTTGGCTTGGATAATTGATGACGAACTTCTTCTGCTCCTTGCTCTCATCTACAGGTTACCTTTCCACTAAATGCTCACTTTAGAAGCGCTTACAAATGCTATATCTCAAAATATTGTTCCTGTGATTAACTTATTTATGAACACAAAATGCTGAGTACTATCGTGTATCGATACTGTGTAGGCAGACATATAATTGTGCGATTTTCTTTCATGGTGTTCGTACTGCTAAGATTATTATGACGTGCAATTTATAGTTGTTTTTCCTTGGGATGAAGTTTGTGGTTTCAGATCTAGAGTAACTTTCTGAGTGGATATGACGTGAGGTTTATAACTAATCAATTTGTTCAAGCATTCTCAGATTACTTGCGGCTTGAGAGTAATTTACTTGTCTACTCTACTGCAGTGGCAACAAGAAAAATACTACGAACCTTCAAAACTCAAGCAAGATCGACGAACCTCATTCCAATCATGCCTCTGAAGAACAAGAGTTAGGGGGCGAGCAAGCCAATTTGACCAAGAAGAAGGGCCGTGTAGACAGGCCAAGTCGTGCTGACGCTCAGGTGCTAACCGAATAGCCAGGTTTATGTGAGTTGTTTTCTAGGTTCTTTCATCTTTGTTAGGTTATATTTGTTCATATCAACGCCAGTCTTGCATAGGCATTCAAGGCTCCTTATGAATTGTATTTTGAAGTGCTCCTGACCATTAGTGTATCAGATTTTGTTTCTTCATGGTAGCTTCTGGTAGTGTCTCCTTATAGACGAAGATTTGATTGAGTTTAGAATTCGTTTGATCCTACTGTAGATGATCGTTGTTGATGTGGTTATCATTGTGCATATTCTGGACAACTAAAACTCCTGTCTTGATGCTTACGTTGCAGCTCTATTCTCGAAGGCCATACCGAAAAGCATTAGTGCACACTTCGCTGAAGCCCAGGTATGCGTCCTGAAGATCTCAATTAAATATGGTAATCCGATACAGTCATTTGGTCATGCTGTTTTGATGAGTCTTTTCAGTAGCAATTTATCCAGCTTTTCACAATTTACGAGTGGCACATTGATGTCCTTCAAGGGAGATGCTTATAAATGAAGCCGATGCTTAAAGCAAAATCTCTTGGCTGCATTAGTTAGCATGCTGTAGTAGTTGCAGGTTACTATTTGAAAGATAGCTTTGAGATGATGGTATGGATACGTCTGTGAAGATAGCGGAAAATACTGTTATGCAAGGTTTGCAAAAAGTCTCTCCGCTGCTTTGCGAGGATATTCTAATTCACGAGATTTAATCCTGTAAGAAAGCCATGATCTTTATTCAGATGAGTGTTTGGGTAAGGCATCTGTACTCGGTGAAGGAGATGAGTTTTGTTGTAGTATTTGTCAAGTAACGGAGTTGGCGTTGTGTGGATTCTCGTCCTTCAACAGCACAGCATATGGGATTTTGCAACTGGCTGACGTACAACCGGGCGACATCGTGCTCGATCCCATGTATACACACTCTCTTGCGACACTTTGTTCCATCTTGCGCTAGCAAACTCCTTGGCTAGTATTTGGTTTATCATGAGCTCAATTAGTTTCTATGGACTAGTTCCAAACGTATGATATCGGTTTCCTTTGCGTGTGCATATTATCGTACAGGTGTGGTTGTGGAACTATACCGTTGGAGGCTAGCGATTGGCTAGGTTCAAGAATCATGGGTCTTGGTGGTGATTTCATAAATACTGCAATTGAAGCATCACGTGTAAACTCTGTTGGTAAGAGTGAAATGCAATATTTTTTCTTGTTTATGTTTCGATTTTATGAACTTTTTGATTCTTACAGTGGGATTTTCAATGCGCCGCAAGCCATCTTTTGAAGCAGTTCCGGAACTCTCGCAACAAAGTTTGTCCATTTTGTCTCATGTTCCTTTACCCCGTCGCAACCACATGGTTGTGACAACTTTTCTTGGCAGCTGGTGAATCCGCAGGACCTTGTGACATAGTCCAGTGGGATGCATCAATGCTTCCATTGCGAACTGCAAGCGTTGACCGTGTCATATGTGACATGCCATTTGGAAACCGTTGTGGTAATGATCTTTGCATATATAGTCCAAAGACATGATAAAAGCACTAATTCGTGCTTTCTTTGGGTCCAGATTTTTGTCTCTCCCTCTTCTCTCTCTCTCTCTCTCTCTCTCTCTCTCTCTCTCTCTCTCTCTCTCTCTCTCTCTCTCTCTCTCCCTCATATATATATATCTATATATATATATATATATATATATATTTTTTTTTTCCGGTGTGCTTCCTTGTGCGTGTGAGTGATAGTGTAACTCGTCATACCGGTGGTGAATCATACTTCAAATATTGGATATTATTTGGCAGTAAAATAAAAGCAGATTTGATATTCTGGAATCGTTTTGTTTGTCCAAAAATACCGCTTTTATTGCATTCAAACGCTTGAGAGTCATTAACCATGTAAGACTAACAAGTGCTTGCAAGGAAAATTTCTGTGGTCGCTTGTGCCGTACAATTTACACAATTTTTGGGTTTTGCAGGCAACCACAAGGTTAGGGAGGTTCTTTGTCCAAGGGTTGTTAAACAGGTTTGTTTGTCCCCTTTTTGATATCTTGATTGTCCTGAATTTTAACTCATTCATGTGTAATTTCATTGATCTCAAGATGAATTTGATACAATTGCTTGTTGTTATGCATGAGTGAAAGCTTGCACCTGCGTACTCTAGTGACGGAGTGGTAAGAGCATTTGTGTGTCTCGTAGAGAGTACTTTGCCCTGCCAAGATGACATTCTTTAAAATTGACGCGAGTATTAAGACAGAAAACTGTAATTTTAGTCACTCAATGAAACGTGGAAGTGTGCTTTTGTGGGATGTTGTGTCCTTTTGTTTTTCTATCACCTCGACCCTGTCTTACTTTAATGTTGCACATATGCACAGGTTGTTCGTGTTCTGAGACCTGGATCAGGTATGTCCTAATTCACCTATATATTCTGGTTTTGCTGGATTCGTCTTGATAAATCAAAAAGTTGATTTAAAAAGTAATCAGTTTGTGTATGTTTATCAACTGAAAAATGTGTGCAATAGACAAGATAAAGTTAGTTTATCTTTTGAAATGCTTGTATGTTTGTTTAATCATAGCAGTTTAACTTATCATACCAATTGTGAAATATGCTTCAATTAATACCACAGAAGCAGACTTAATTTCACGGCAACGTTGTGTTTGTTATAAATTCGTAATTGCAGTTAAACTCATGAGAGGCATAAAACCATAAATGGTAAACATGTGCTTGTAAGACAACCTTCTTTTTGGTACATGCCTTTTTTGAGCATGTATGCTCTCCCGTGTCTTAGTCACTCAGGAAGTGTGGTTTTCATTTATTTTATTTTCATATTTTGTACGAATTAAATTTTAGTAAATTTAAATTTAAAGGCAACTTGAATTAGTATTACCGTCTTAACTTCTAGCCTACAGTTATGATTAAATCGGTTTAAGCATTTTCCAAGGTATAGGTCTTCACATCGTAGCATTCACTTCTTGGGGGTTTGATTTTCAGGGGTAGCAGTACTCATGGCTCAAAGTAAGACTATGAAAGAGGAAATAGTGGTGAATCAAAAAGCCTATTTGAGCCTACAGCAGCATTTTTATGTACACATGGAGGTGAAGATCTAACCTAACTCTTCAAGTATACTGTATCCACAAGAAATTTTGGAAATTTGCAAATATTCTAAATTGCTTTGACTTGTTGTGAAGACGTGACTAATCAGGAAAACGTTGATTGAGGTCGACCTTTCCTACACTTGGTTTGTAGTAAGCACCATTAGGAACTTTGCTGTTGTGCAGGGTTTGAAGGTTGATGTCTTTGTCGTGCACCGTACCACAGAAGCTGCCCCCACTCAGGTTGACTATTCATTTCTATCTTTTCAGGCTTGCAGTTTTCGTGAGTGTCGATCAGTATGCCATATCGCATTGTCTGGTTTGAAAAAAATCGTGTTAAGTGCAGAGTTCGGGGACGTTGATGATGATTATGAAGCCATGTATTTACTATTCACGAACTTTTGCGTTTGATGGTTGGATGGATCTGACAGCAAATTGTGAAGCCAAGTAAGAAAATGGTTAAGCGTAAGCGGGACGGACAGTTCATCAAGCCATCTTCACCAGAGATTGCGTGATCTGAAAGCCTGGTGTACTGATACTGCCAAAGGTTTACATCGTTACATGATCAGTCCTCATCGTGCATTTCATGTAGAAAATATGAGATGTAACTTTTTGATGGAATGGAGCTCTTTGTTATGCCCCTAGAAAATCAAATTAGCAATTTTAGAAATACAGCCACCGAAACGCTACATGATTAAGTCTTCATCTTAACTTTTCAGTGGGTTGTACAAATTGCAAGTCGGCATCAAACATTGTATTGAATTTATCATCACTTGTCCACATTATATATGGTAAGCCTGGAGAATGCCGTGAACATCCAATTGTTGGGCTGGTTCAACGTGTGAAAGCCACTGGGGTTAGGGTCTCCTTGAACATAACACGAAACGACCTAAAGCTGATCCTGATTGAGTTCTATAATATAACGTTCTGGTTTTTGTTACTTATTGCATCGAGAGTACTATTATCAACATGTTGGATTCGTATCCTCCGAGACTATGTTCATTTATAATTGACATTTTTCATCGACTTTGATGGCAGATTGCTGGGCATCCTCAACCTCTGTGCCCTTGCTTAACATTGAGAAATGTTTTCTGGCACTAATAATGAAGCAAAGGAGAACAGATCTTGCTTGGAGTGCTACGATCGTTGATAGTGATAGATCTGAGCTGAATTCAAGAGACCGTCGGTACAAGAAACATATCACACTGCACATTGAATACGTGCCAGAGTTCGTCGTCATCTGCCTCTGTTGCATGTCTTGGCATACCAGGCTTGTGTATGAACGGCCTCCTCTTGTGTGCTTGATCCAGGTTCAGTTGCTGCTTGCGTTTTGTTGCAGGGTGTGCTTATTTTTGACGCTCTACCTGAACTCAGTTTGAGTGCCCTTACGAAGCAGACGGTGGATTTTGATTTCAATGTCCATATGACCTCGGCACTGTGTCAAATTTTTCTCTTAGCAATACATTTATACTAGTTCAGCATGCGTACAATGAATCGATTTGCTTCTTGTATTAACTTCAACTAACAGCAGTAACAGTATACTAGGGTAGTTTTTGTGGGAGTGGTATAGCTCTGTAGCATGGAAAGAGAAATTAGGGGTCGCTGATGGTGGAGATTTTCTTGGAGGATGAGAAACCAAGAAACAATTTAGTAGAAGTCAGATCACTTGTTGAAGCTGGGTTCACTAAATTGTAATGAGTTCATGATCTTTTAAAAATACATTAAATATGAACAAAGACATTCTGAAGCGTGGGAATGACCTTTCGTAGTTAAGAACTTGAATGAAGTGGCTGCGTGGGTGGATGTTTGGGCATCTTAAAAGACACTGATCTATTTGTAGAATCTGCTGTGGAATTCGACAATCGACAGTGCTTTACATCAGGACTGCAAGCCACTCCAATCAGCTTGTGGTGCTACAACTGCGAGTGCCATTTCTTACTGTGCTTGGTTTGACAGTACCGCACCGTGAGACACGGAGACATGCTGCAATAGGGGATTAATTAAATGGCATAGGATGGATACTTCAGCTTAGTGTTGCGAACACAACTTTTAGACCGAAGGATTTTGTTTCACTTCGTGATTTTCTTCTTTCGGAGGAGAGCACTTCAACCCCTCGAAGTAAGGTTCTCCTGCTTTACAAAACCCTGTTTCTCCAATAGCTGTGAATCCGTAATTTGCCGAGAGTGACCACCTTGAGACCATCCAAATGGAGTCTGGAAATGACTCATGTAAAGTAGTAACACAGGAGAAATATGTTGCATACAAGGTTTTTCACACATACTCCTGATCAAGGCCCTGCTCCTATGTAATACCCAGCTTTAGAGTATGATTTTTAAGTTAACTCTCACGGCAGATAATATATTTGGACTTCTACCATAAGAGCAGGATATGCATACGTCCTCAACTTTGTGCAAATGTGGAGCGCTACGTAAACAACGTCGTCAGCGTTTGAAATGTTATCGAATGAAGTTATCACAGCGAGAGTTATAAACTTGTGGTACTGCTCTGTAGCTAACCGTGGTTCACGAATTGCATGCAACAGTGGGCATTGCAACTGGCAATCTACATCAACTTTTGACTTCAAGTGGAAGATGAGCTCACGAATGCAACTGAAGAAAGACGTACCACGGAGTCGCATGTTTTCTTATGCAAAGTACGTTTCGAATCTGGGACTTGTACTAAAATCCTCTTCCGGCAAATGTGATGTTAGCTTCTTTTAGCCACTGGTATAACAGAATGTGTCCAAGTTTGGGTGCCCCTCTTTCTAGTACTTTTGTTGATCTGCATCCCTTTGTCAACCGGTTGCACTTGGCCATGAACGTCGTTGTACTCATTTTTGCCCTACAAAAGTGAATCCAAGATGATAGTTTAGTTTTGTGTGGTGCACTCTCATTTTTTCCAATGTTGTGCCATGAGGATTGATGTAACATGCAAACTGTTGCCTTGGAAAATTGTGTGAGGCTTTTCCTGTAGATGCCTATTGAGGTTGACAGTCTTTGTTTTCCTTTCTTTATTTTTATTTTATTTTTATTTTATTTTTATATTATTTATAGGGTCTTTATACACAGAAGTCCACTTTGAAAAGTCATGTTACGAAAGTTTTATAAAATTTTCTTGCTTAATGAAGAAGAATTGTTTTTGAAAATTTTATTCTTTGAAAACAGTGTAAAATGAGAAGAGGCTATGGAAGGAATCAAACTGTTATTTATTTATTTAGTTATTTTTATTATTGTAAGTTTAATATGTCAACTTATATCTTGATTCTAACAATTATGAAAAATATAATATAAAATTGATTTTCTTTTTTTGTAATGGTTGTTTGTAATTATTTTTAACATGCTATTTGAGTTTTTATAAAAGTCACTTTTTAAGGTAGGTTTGCTGCAAATATTGGGAGGATAATACTATTCCTGCTATGTAGAAAAACAAATATTGCATTCTATCTAATCTTTTCTTCTTAGGATTCTTAGACTAATTTTTTTAAAGTTTTAAGTCAACTCTAAATACATGACCTTTTAATAAATTTTCCTATAACTTTAAAGATATATATCTATATCTATATATATATACATTTAAATATATAAGCTTCCAGGATAAACAAAGATTTGATTCTATGTAATAAAAAAATTTGGATGGTTATAGTGTTATATATATATATATATATATATATATATAACTATTAGTTGTATTGTTTTCTTAAAATTTAATGATTTCTAAGAAATTTAAACTATATTTATATCAATAAAAGAAGCAAGTATTAACTTTTTGATATGATGTTAAAGGCAGATGCATTTTGTAACTATTTAGAACAATTTTTCAAGGCATAGAGTAGATGTTACTAATGATTAATGATGTGCAAGAATTAATTAATATTTGGTGTTATATATATAATTATATAATTATATCCACATAATAATATATATATATATATATATATATATATATATATAAATGTGGATTTTCAAATTCACAAATAATTTGAAATTTAGTTTGTGTTATTCTCAGTAAAAATCTTTTGAAAAACTGATTAAATTTGCTGCACAGCTAGTTAGTAGCTTGCGGTGACCACAAGCGCTAGTTCCCTCTCGCTAAGTTGTCGGAGGTGTGCGATGAATTCATGCAGCTCGAACGTGTAGCTTTTCGAGAAGGATCAGTGAAGAAAAACTCTGTCTCGGGAAGTGAAGAAAGTGAGAAAGCGAGAGCGAGAGAGAGAGAGAAAGACAGTTGCTCAAGGCAACTCGTAAACCTGGCGGCAAATTCTGGAACGCGTTGATTGAGTTGGAAGAGCCGTGAAATGGTGCGCACGCCCTTTGTGGGGAAAATAATTTTCCGGGAATGAAGGCAATCAGTTTTTGCTTTTATTTTTATTTTTTTGCAAGGAGCTCGTCTCTCCCGCTTTTCGAGTCACTGACAACAGTACAGTCCTCGGAAGGTAGGGGTGGGTGGGTCGTGAGCTCAACTCTTGCAGCTTCGGTCGGCATTGAGAGGCGATCCCAGTTGTATGAATAGTGAGTGCGGCGTGAGAGCTACCCTGCCGCCTTGCTTGGTGATCAAGATGTTCGGGTACTCGTGGACAATGGGTAATTCTAAATATGGAAGGACATGAGGGAATCAATCCCATGTAGCGTCGATCCGTGTAATCTTTGCCATTGCCGTTGGGATTCGTCAAGACTGGTTTTGGGTCAGGAGAAACGGACAGAGGAGGCCATTCAACTCTTCCAGCAGCAGAGAGAGCGTTCTGTGTTTTTTTTGCCATATACGTGGATGGTTGTTGACCCATTCCAGGGCTTCGTTCAACTTCGTTCTACCAGCCCATCCACACGTGCGATTTGGAGAAAAAGCCTTTGTTCACGATCTTTTATGATGGGACGACTATTGGAAGAATGTAGCCCAAGTGGCGTGGAAGGGGAACCCACACGACATTCGCCGTTCCAACCCTCTCTGAGAAAAGGGAATCATGCTGCTGCGGTTTTTGTAAACTTGGTTTGGAGTGTTGAGTAAGGAATTCGAGCGTTTGTTTACGAAGGTTTGGAAGTTGTGTGTGGGACTGGCAAGGTGGATTGACTGACCCAACGACCGACATACGCCGGTGGATTGTGACTGCAACCTAGAGGTGGGCAAGCTTTGACCATGCTTCCTTTTTCTTTTCACGCTTGTTGTGTGTGTGTGGGTGGAAGGAAGGGATGTTTGGTGGTAATCCGGAAGAATTTTCTTGAGGCGAGTGGGAGAGAATTGAAGCTTGTATCTTTCTTCTTTGTCTCTTGCCTGTGGGTGTAACTTCTCACGGTCCCTCTCGCATGGGTTGATTTCTTCGGGAAATTTGTAGCGGAGGTAGGGTTTTCACGGTCCTCGCTATAGTAACTCTCAAAAAGTCATTCGTATGTCTTTACATTTGCTTTCTCCAACTTTTCTCAATTCTCCCACCGAATACTGCATAAATTGATACTGGATGGTCTTGCGGTAATTGTACACGTGTCAGGTTGAATACCTCATAGCAACTCTTGGGAAAATCTTCAAATGCTTGCCGTTGCAAGTCTGTTTTTGGGAGATCGAACAAGCCATTGTCTTGTGCTTAGTGTTCTCCCCTTCTTCAGGGTTTTGTAGTTCACTTGGATCAGAAATAGGGGTTGCGTGCTATCGGATGAGTTCTTGTTCCGAGAACAGTAAAATTTCTGGATAGCTACTAACAAAAAGTCCAACGGTAGATTGATTCCCTGTTGAGGAATCACGCGGACACTCTAGCCATTATCGAGGAAATATTTTAATTCTTTTGGGAGTTGGATTGCTCTAACTGAGGGGGTGAAGATCGAATGTGGATTGCAGAAGCTTGAAGATAGGAGGATTGTAGAGGTGTATCTATGGTGGGCTTGAGATGCAGCGCAGTATGCTGTTCGTACAACGCAAGTCTGGCAGTGATTTGGCGGAATAAATTTCACTTATTTTGTGATCACAGTGGCTATCTTCGGAGATAGTAGCCCGGGGTTTGTGGTCAACGCTGGGGAGGTTTTGCAGCAATGGATAATCATAGGAGCAGAGAATGGAGAGATTCTCCAGGTCCGCATGCATGTCCCTCAACTCCTCCAAGTTTGCACACGCACAAACTATGGTGCACAGGAACCTTGGACTTGTGGCGGGACGGATTGATATGTGCATACGAGTTCATCCCTGCACCGGCGAAGAACTTTAAGGTTGCCGGCGACTTCGGCAACCAGAGTGGACGTGTGCAAGGGCGATTTGACTGCGACCTTTCCGTGAAACATCCGTATGACTACCTGGGGATCGATTTAAACCGGTCACACGACTCATTTGGCGAGGTTTCAGAGGTTTCACACGCTGATTCGTGTGCTGACAGTTTAGATACGGAAGTGCAGGGATTTGTGGTGCGCGAGAGTTTGCTGAAAGATGAAGGGAATACCTCGTTGCCGAGGGCCTCTTCGTCTCCTCGGACGTCTCGGGATCACCGGTGGAATGGGAAGAAGGATTATGGCTCCCAGTGGGTCCCTATAGGATGGAGCCGACTCTCGGAGCTTTTCCAAGCATTACAGGTTCGTGTGAACCTTTTGTGAGGATTTTTCCGTTATCTGCAGGCTAACGGGCAAGTTCCGCACTAATCTCGAAGTGTTTCTAGCTAGACACCTTTACTTAAATATTTTCTTCATTGCTTTCGAAACTAGGGTGATCCTATGTGGGGCAACGATGACATCCTCTCGGACGAAGACGACTCTCTTGCAGTTGCCGATGTGGCTTACCCCTATTGGCAAAAGCGAAATGGACCAACGTTTTGGTGTCATGTTGACGCGCGCCACTCTAACATTGCAAAATTTTTTGGGAGTACATGCTGGCTACATCCTGCGGTCAGCGTTGCCCTCAGGGATGAGAAGCGGCTCATTAGTGACCGTATGAAGCATCTCCTCTATGAGGTATTTAATAATTTGTTAAGTTTCACCTGAACATGCAAGCTTCAGATGCAGACAAGAAATTTTCTCGAGGGTATTGCTTGTTTATATTTTTTGAAGTTCGCAGGTACCTGTACGTGTTGCCGGAGGCTTATTGTTTGAGCTCACCGGCCATTCGATTGGGGACCCAAATCGTGATGAAGAAGATGTCCCTGTTGTTTTGCGCTCGTGGTACTCGCAAAACTTCCTGATCACATCAATGCACGTGAAGGGAGTGATTGATCACCTGAATGTTCTAGGTGTCCTGGAAGTTCAGGTACGTTTGGTCCAGTCTTTCTCCTCTTCCAATGCCCAATCCTAAATGAATATCTTGGCATACCTGGTGATTTTCTTACTTTTTGAAGAAGTTTCTTTGTTTGCTAGTTTAGAAGCTAGCGACGATTAAAAACCAAAGTTGGTTACAGGATCTGTTGGGTGCAAGCGGTCCGGAGGCGCCTAAGTCTACGCAGGATGTCATAGCGCAGATTGCAAGCCGTCTTGCTAGATGGGATGATCGGTATGTCTGAACCCTAAATATGTTTTCCGATCTGTTGGAACTCTCTATGTTGAGTTTCACCGTTGTCAGGATTTCAATATTTTAGGGTAATGAAGTAATTTTCGCTTGTAGGATGTCTCGAAAACACTACTTTGGTGCAGCAGACGAAGTCGAGTTGAAGTACGTCAATAGGTGCGCATATTCACACCATCTCAGTTTCTGATGTTTCCTTCTGTACCAGACGATGGAAAGTTTCGATCCGTGGATTCGAATGAATGATTGTATACCATGGTTTTTGTAGCAATTCTTAGTCAACTCTTTTTGCAGGAAATGGAACGAGGATTTGGCACTGTTGAGCATAATCTTAAACCGAGAAATACGTCATCTTGCCACTCAGGTAGAGATTTTGCTAAGTTCCCTGCGTATTTACTATTCCAGTGTCAATCTTCGTGACATCGATTTGCTTATGTAGTGATTCTCTCACCTCTACTTTTCAGGTTATCAGAATAAAATGGTCTCTCCACGCGCGCCACGAAATACTTCACGAGCTCATGATGCATTTAAAGGAAGAGAATGCTTTAAAAGTCTTGATGATGGTGGAGAAACAAACCCGTGAGATGCTGGAAGAGCAGGAAGCTGTGCGAAACCGCTTGTTCACAGTACAGGATGTGATGCAGAGCAATGCTCGAGAGAAGCTGCAGCAAAAGAGCCTCCGCGTGCAACACAATTTAGCAGTGATAGGCGGCGGAGGACTCCTCCTCTCCATCATAGTTGGCCTATTCGGTATCAACTTGGACGGCATCCCAGGTGGCAGTGACAATCCCCATGCATTCGCAATCTTTGCTACTGGCCTGTTTCTCCTCGGTGCAATTGTGATTGCAATTGGCATCCGCTGGCTTGGGTTCAAGCGGCTACCATCCGAGGATGACATCATCTCTCGTAAGGCAGAGCTGGAGGAGTTCATTGTCAAGTTCCAGAAGGCAGCTGAGGCGCACGAGAAAATCCGCCATGTCAGTTCGGACTCATCGATGCGAGACGTCCACGTCAAAATCCAAAAGTCTAACGATCACTACGTTCTACTCCAATAAAATTTATCATTTAGCTCCTCCCATTTGTAGATACTTTTTGCCAGCACAAGGTTGTCGAGGTTGTTTGAGTGAACTATTGGCCAACTTTGTAGACCAGTAAGGTTTGCAGAGCATGCTCTTGACAATTCAATTGTTCTCATTCTAGGCACATCGGTGTACTTTTATGTAATCTGATAATGTACACAATGTTACACACAAAAAAAAAATTAAGTAAAGCAGGATGTTATAGTACCCATGATAATGCTTTCATTTAAATTATGTGACTAACAGAAATGGATCATTTGAAAATCCGTGATATTGTAATGATCTGCGCATATGTTCGGTCTACGTGTCAAGCTCAGGGACTACGTTGCGTACTCTCGAGCTCCAAAGATAGTGGATCCAACTCTCACGTTCGTGCTTCCCATTTCAATCTGAGTCAAAAACAACAGTTGAAAACTGAAAATAATGTATAGTAGTAGTACTAATGTATGTATATATATAGATAGATATAGATATATATATATATATATGGTTTAGATACATACTATATGAGCAACTATACTTCATAACAACAGCAAAAACAGGATTTCTGTGAACTTACGGCGAGCTCAAAGTCACTCGACATGCCCATAGAAAGTTCAAATTCCTCCATTGGGATGCCGAGCTCCCTGCACGTCTTCTCTTGGCAGCTAGCCAGAGTCTGCAGCCAGCAAGATACAATTTAAACATGACCTGTAGGATTGCCAATCAAATTGTTCTGGACAGGTACTCACAGAAATAGGTCAAAATAACATGAGGGGGGACTTTAGATTCGTAAATACGTGAACTTATGGTCATGAATAACTTCGACAGAGAACCAACAAGAGCAGAGAACATTTTTGTGTGCAGATAGTTTAGTGCCTTGAAATTTTCAGGAGTGGATGTGTAGTCGAGATTGCCAATGGTCATGAATCCTGAGAAATGTAAATTTGGACACTTTTCCTCGATATGTTTTGCCAGCTCCACACAGTTAGACGGCTCTACTCCTGATTTGGCTGGCACCACAAGCAACCTAGATCAATATGAATGAAATGATTTCTTTTTTACCCTGTTGGATCCACTTCCTTATCAGGTTCCGTAAACGTTTAAATGAGGGAGAAGACCTTCAGATAAAAACTCGATCTTCAATCGTCATCTATTTACAAACTCTTCAGCAGAATGATGGCCCTAAATAACCAGAAAATCCAGAAGATAGAGATGCTGCTGCTACTTACACGCCTCCCCACTAGTATTCACTTGCACGAGAACTTTCAATGGCGGCCTTCCTAGCCCGCTCACTGCTTTATCCAGATGATCTGCTACCTGTAAAATGTAGTAAAAAGTCAAGACTTAAAAACCATAAATATGCACTAATATGACCCCATCTGTTGCTGATCAAGAGTATTAAAAGCATTACATTACCACCTGTGAGCAAAACATCCAAAGTAAGTGGAAACACAAGCACAGCAACATCACACCTTCTCGCTGTCAACGCCTTCAACCATGTAGAGGTTAGGGACGCCGGCTAGAATTCAGGAACGAAAACGTCAGCAACACAAGGCCAGCCACTGTTCGGAGTAAAAGAACTCGGCAAAAACGATGCTTCCTAATAGACGCATTCTTATTCTTCAGTTTTACGAAATGAAAATAGAGTAAAACGATTGGCAAATGATATCTCTGAGAAACAATGAAAGAGTGACACTTACTGACAAGGGCCTTCGCCTTGTTACTTTGAAGATGACCAATGAAGTGCCATTTGGTGTCTTCAGGAAACTAAGTTCACTCAGTGAAAATTTCGAAGTCAATCCGATAGAATCCAAATCATCATATGCAAAGGAAATAGTGCGGTGATAAAGCGGAAATCATACTCACAGTGTCAGAGATATTGAAATAAGAAAGACGATGCTACACAAGCCTACTCATCGCCAAATACAGCTAATACAGGCTTGTCATCCAAAGCCAGACGTAAGCCCTAAACTCAAAGCAGTAAAAATCACATGTAATGACAGTGAAAACCCTAATCATGTCCAGAACAATCGCAACGACAAGCTTTTAAAAATTGACAAGGATGCAATTTGCATAAAATTCAACAATGTACGCACTGCGTTGTGCTGGAGACACAATTAGATCTTTCTCAGGTCAAACGCTAACTCAAATAGGTCTCGCGACAAATGTATGGCGAGATTATACGGATTCAAATACCTGAGGGGCCTTGTCAATAAGCTCTTGCACGTAATTCTCTCCGAAGTGGCGGTGTCCAGCATCGTAAACCTCCCTAATCATTTTCACCGGCTTGGTTTTGCTCACAGCTACTAATCGCACCTGCTGGAGCCCATATCATTAAGACTATACAATAGCAATGTGAACATCGCATTTGCATAAGCGACGAAGAGATCTTCATCAATTCATACAATAAATACTGTGACATGGTAAATGTTTTTGTAAAACAACCAGAGAGCGAGACAGTGGAGACGACAAGTACAGAGGAGACGGGGCGATTTGCGCGCTCGCTAGCTTGTTGAATGCGTTGCATCACGTCACGCAATGCTTGCACTGTGGCGCTCTCCGCCGCGGTAGCCATCGCCGCAAACTCTTCAACCTCGGAAAAAAAAAGAAAAAACTCCTCTAAACCCCACCAAAGACAACCCTCGTCAAATTACTTCTCTTCCGACTCTTTGCTGAAATCCAACTACAAGGGCGAAAGATAACGACGCTTCTACAATAACAAGGCCTCTCACTTGATCCACAAAGCTGACAAAACTCTAATATCCTAGCAATCAACTTTAGAATTGGATGCCGAACTTCCTGCTTTGTAAGCCTCATTCGAATCTTTTGCAATCATCAAATTGAATGACCTTATACCGCCTCACCGATTCCAACGCCACGTCACGTTGATGGTCCACTTGTTGAGAATGAAATTTTCGATTGATTCTGGAAGTGCGAGCAGCAGAATTACAACCAGCAGCTATGAAGCTCCAGCACTGGTTCGTAAAAAGTTCTTCTGTCTGCGTTTCTTCCTTATCAGGAACTGCTCTGCAGAGGGAGCTGAATGAAAGCAGGTTTCAATCCCATTCTCATTCAACTTTTCATGCATATCCAAATTTGCGATGTCCACAACCTCCGTCTAGATCAAAACTTGATGAATTTACAGGACCATTGAGCGGCCAGGAAACTTGCCATTTTTTGTATAGCTTGGAACTTCGGGTATCATGGATTACTCACTGTTTGCAGATACTTGAGGCAGATTCTGGAAGTCTCGAATTATACTCTTATTTACGAAGTTTTTCGGGCTCCTCTGTTGGGAGAACTTATCTACTCTTCACAAGATTTCAGAATGTGGGGTTGGATATTCTACGACACCTACTCGTATGTATATATCTCTCTACGAATATTCTTTGGTTGGGAACTTTTAGACTAACTGGGATAACGTCAAAAGATCTTCGCACACTCGGCACCATTAAAATCATTACTTTTGGATTCATTGATGGAATTCCCGTGCCTGTTTGCGAATGAGAAGCAGGTGGGTGCCAGAATCAATGATCACTCTGGTCTTCGCAATGTTTACAGTCCAGATGCACGCTGTTCGTGTACCACTATGTTGTGATGAGAATCGTACCCGAACAAATCAATCAAGCCTTGGTATCGTCACTGTACTAGACCATTCAAACTGCGTAATCTGCGTTACAATGGTGCACATCTAAGCATTCTGTTGGCTGATCAAGTATGATTCGGTGGGGGTGGACGCGTAAAGATGAACTACCTGATTTGCTGTCCCTTGTGAGTAACGATGCAACTTGATTGACCTGCAATTCACTGTACCTGTGACTCGTGAGGTTTGGAGTTTTTGTGTCAACGTACAACGGAAGATTTCATTCAGTAGTAATGTTTACTTGTTAACGGCACTAGTGTGGAAACCATTAAATCACCACAGCAGCTGTTTGAGAGTCAACAACTGGTTGCGTTTAGTGATTGTGAAGATATGCGGGGTGTGAGATTCGTCAAAACGAAATATGTACAAATCACGAGGGTGGCATGTGTGGACATGTTTGGTTGCGTACTTTGTACTCGGAAACGTCATCGCCAAACTCGCACAGATGAAATCAAGAGTCCAAAGAAAAATTCAATACCTGAATGAAAAAATTCCTAACATTTAAACCAATACACTCTCAATCACCACTAGTGCACAAAAATTTCTTAATCTCTGCGTCCCTCCAGCTGCAGCTTCCATCCAGACTCAAGTGCTTAGCGAGGCTCACTGCTTAGATCCACTGATGAGGTTTTGATTTAATGTCCTCGAGAAGAAACTTCAACTCCCCCGAGAGTAATCACCAGAACTGGAGAATCCACCCTCAAAATGATACATGACGAAGAGAAGAGACTTAGGAAGCAGATCTGGGTCACCATCTTGGGTATAATTGTGGTCATCGCAATTGTGCTCGTCGTTCTTGGTCTCACAGTCTTCAAGTCAAGGGATCCCAAGGTGCACATCAACACTATCGACCTTGAAACCTTCAGCATTGGCCAGACCTCCCTCAACATGTCGCTGCTGCTCGACATCACCGTCTCTAACCCCAACAGAGCAAGCTTCACCTACTCGAACGGTCTCACGAGATTATTCTACTACGGGGATCCAGTCGGCCAGGCCCTCATTCCCGCAGGGAAAATTAAGTCCAAGGCTGATGAGTATTTGTCTGTTTTGTTGTTCGTCGAGGCTTCTCGTGTGATTATGAACGCGAACCTCCCGGGTAACATTGTCAGCGGCAGGCTTCCTGTTGTGGCAACCACGACGTTAACAGGGACTTTGAAAGTTCTGGGTGTGTTCAAGCATCACGCTCTGTCTACTTCTGACTGCGACATATTTATCTTTGTTGCAAATGCTACTGTTCAGAGCTTCTATTGCAGGCATGCAGTGAGGCTTTGAACTGATTCACCAGCACTTCATTCAATCACCTTTAGTCTCGCCAATATCTTCCTTCGTAAGTTCTGTTACATAGACCCAATGGAGGCTTCGCATTATCTCAGTTGAGTTACTTTTAGAAACACATCACTAGAAGTGAGTCGCAGTGTTGGTGTACGTCCAGAATGTGTTAGCAACTGAACAAACCCACGAGATTACTGTAATAGAAAAGATTTCAGAGATCTAGTCAAGATTAGTTAGTAGAGTCCAAGCCTAGCTCCGACTCTAGATCGATGAGGCTCCATAGAGATAGAAAAGCATCTTTCCTTGTTGCATGGGTTGTGATCGTGCAGAGTGTAGGTAAGTATAGGTACTTAACCCTTCTACCGTGCATATATCCCACCAATATTTGCACCTGCTCTGGTCAAGCCTGAATCTATCCCTCCTAGTTGTTACATCAATGGTGTTGAGAGCGACCTCGTCGCAAGTTCTCAATTGGCAATCAGTGGTACATATTCTGCATCTCACAAAGTGGAGGAGTTGAAATGAAGAAATTCTCAATCTTACTATGCTTGTACTATACAAATTATAAATGTCAAGCCATCTTTCAAAATCAAGCTTACTAAACTAACAAGGTGAGTAAGAATAGTAACTCAGAATTCAATTCAGATGTGATCCGACACAAATCTTGTCTACACTCTACGCTCCATAATTCAAGGTCGACGAAAACATTCTAGATGTGGCATTCAAACAACACCATTCCATCCCAACCAATAACGTTATCTTAGATGTTGGATCGTTAAACCAAAATAGTTAGCACAGAATTTACATCACTGAAACTCCTTCTGAGTTCTGAAGTCTCTACAAGCCCCACCCACTGACCAAAACTTCTGTCCATGGTGCACATCCTCACGACTCATAATTCTTCATGCCGGCCACCTATTTTTTATGTTACATGGATGCCAAATACGCCAATAAATAGGGTGACGAGGGCATTCCAAATCCAAAGCACCATTTTGGAAGTTCATCTAGCATCTTTGCTGCTTCAGGTGTTGTAAGATCAACGTCGGTCCGCAGCTTCAGAAGCTTCGATGCATCAAAATCAGTGGCATTCTGGAACCAATGAAGGATTAGCAAAAAGTTGCTAGGACCAGCAGGATCACCATTGTACTGGATCAAATGCCAACCAACAACCCCTGAAGTCTTAGTGGTTGGTACCAACACTTGCTGTGGGGATTTAGAGTCTATAGTAACTTCCAGCTGAAACTTAGCTACCTTGTTTGAGTTTACTGTAAGAAACCAACGGCAAGCTTTTCCAGCACTCAAGCGCACCGTTGTCACTCTTGGTGGACCGTCTTCATCTTTGATCACTACCAAAGAAGGTCGGTCTTCCCATAGACTTTCATCCAAGAGAATAGGCTTCTGACATCCATATTTTACCTTGTGCGTTACAAAATCAATAGTGTTATTTCGATTACACACGAGGTCTGCGTCACCCATGTGTTTCGCTTCTGGGTCCAAGCTTCCCATAGTTACAGATGCCAGGGAAAGAAACGAATTCGTAGAATTTCTACCACTGTTTTGACCATCCGCATCAATAACATGAACCACATTAATTCCTCGACCAACGTCGGGAGTAAACGCAGGGAAAATACTGATAGCAACAGATGCTAATGCCAAAAGTAGGATGGCTCCTAATACTCCTAGAACATACGCCAGTCGTCCTGAACGGTGAACATATGGGAGCAAGCACACGAGCATTAGGGTCGTGATAGCCGCACATATACAGGCTATCATAACGCTCCCCACCCACACCGGCAAATCTCCCGGATCCCTGTTCACAAATTCAGATTTACGTCAGCATAATACACCAGGTATTATTCCTTCAGAAGCAGCCCTTCAGCTCCAATAATGAATTTAAAATCAGACAATGATTAGATACAATGTTGTTTGAATTCTTTGGTGGTACCTGTCAAAGTTCACAACCATGTTGATAAACACAAGAGGGAGCTGGAAGGCAGACAAAGCCGTCAAGGCAGCTGGTGCAACCACACCAAGCCGGAACGTCAGATATCGCAGCTTCCTCAAGGCTTGTCAAGATGAAAGGGGAATCTCAAGCAGCCCATAAGCTATAGTGGGACCAACCACCCATGCAAGAGCTAAGTAGGAAGACCCTGCCTTAGCCCAAGTGGCTAATACAAGCACAAGTACCCTTTGCATAATCCCCGCTTTAAACAACCATCTCTGAGCCTCACACAGAACTGTATACGGAGCGTTTATAGCGAGGTTCTTCTCTGGAACGACCTGTTCTAACGTCGATTGGGTCTTTTTGTGTTGCTCTTCATCAACATGCCGAAGGTACCAAACTAGAAGCATATGACCAAATCGATGGCCTACCAAAGCGCCAATTGCGGCAGGAAGGCAATACAGTGGGATTGCTAACCACGGGCAAGCTAAGAACGGGACAGCCGAACTGCCTAGTGTTGGAACAAGGATTGCAACAAGGAGAGTGAAACCTAATGCGAAACACCACGTGAAGCAGATGGTCAAGAAAGCTAAACATGAGGCTACCAGGCAGGGAATCCCTGAGAGATAAATGTCGCCGACTTGGAGTACTATAAGCTGAAATATAATGGAGTGGTGCAAAAGCTTGGCGAAATCCTGAGAATAAGTCACCATGTACCACCCTAATATGTCCCAGTAGACCACATTCATGTTGGAGAATCCTGTTGGGTATGTCAGATTACGGGATGCCAGCTCTGGTGATGTGGCTATTTCACGTAGGAAAGGAAGCATGTTGTCTCCAGAATGTTGTAGAGATCCGGGTCGCAAAAGCTTCAACTTGTCGTTTTTAGTGAGATACACGGCCGAATTCTCCATGTAAGCAAAATCAAGCCCTGTCAAGCCTCCAACTTCTCTAAAAATTTGGAAGTCAGTGGTTGTTTTCACCAGACCAGAGTAGAATATATCCTGAGCTAGCATTATGGTGGCAGGCCACTTGGCCACCTTGGCATAAGAAGTCTCAACAAGAAAAGCATCCGGTCCACCTTGAAACAGCCAATGCTTGCCACCAACGCCCATAGCCTCCAAGTCTACAGCTGCACGGATCGTTTCTCTCCATGGATGCTGGGTCATGAAACTATGCGCTCCAAGTAAACCTTCTTCCTCACCTGCATGGTTCAATCTTGCCTCGTAAGTACTGTTGCTCAGAACTGAAACGACTAAGATGAGAGGCTAAGATTTCTTAGATTTCAAATGCGGCAAAGAGTTCCGACATCAAGTTCTGAGTCAGAAAATAGAAAGTTATAAAGCTACTGCAAGGGAAATCCTCTGCAATCATAATACAGTAGTGCACAGGAATCTTAGAAATATGTACAAGTTGAAAAGATCTCAACCTAGTTTTTTACACAATAATCGAAGCTTAACCACTGCATAATGGAGGGATACGGCGGAAGGAAAAGAATTCATAAGAAAATATTAACTTAACCAGTGTTGAAGAGAAATATGACGGAGTGTTTGAAGACTTGCGCCTAGTGGGAAAGCGCCCGCACCAATTCAAGCATGATACCCACACAAGAGCTGCAATCCCCAGCACCTTGTGAAGTGATAACTGTGTCGATATGTGAAGAGACCAAAATTGCGTTTTCCAGAGCACTGTCCTCATATTTGGGGTGCAATCGAGCAATAACATGCTTCAGTCCATAATAAACTGTAGACTCCCCATCGCAAATTCCTGTGAGCTGTGTCACTCCTGGACTCGCATGAAAGTAGTCTACCTCTACTTTCACTTCTGAATTTTCTGTCTGTTGCACCTCCGTAACCTGGTCTAGCACATACTGCAGGAAAGACCTCATCGACAGAGTCACTAACAAGGATTCATAAGTCAAGTCCTTAAAGAAACACCCCCTTCTACACACCCCTTCATGACATCAATAGGGGTTAAAATTCTAAAAGATCCTCATGAATTCGAATGCTACTGAACACATATGATAGCCACGCAGTCTATACCTGAATAGCATGACCGAGAGCCTTGCTGCGCAAAGGGTGGGGTCCGAAAGAAGAGAGAGATTCAACATGCTTGTAAGCTCTTTCCTCAGCGAACCCACGTAATCCGGCGTCATTTCCAGAAACCGGCGGAGGCAGTAGCTCCATCTGATAGCGAAAAATTAGCCACATCCCAAACAGGAGTATCACAACCATGGCCAGCCACTCCGCAGCTGCCTCCCCCCTGCTCGGCATCTTCGTCACACAGAGCCCAATTTCAGAGCCTCGCATCACCTCGTCCGAGGACTCAATTACATCCTGCGACGACGGTGAAGGTGCTCCAGAATGCTGATAAACCTCTCCTTCTCGTGCCTTGGGTTGTCGTGACACGGATCCCGCCATAGCTAATTACTCCTAATCTCCCATTCAACAGTAAGAAACAGCAATCTATAGATTAATCTTCCAAGAACTGAGGTCACAGAAAACTTCGAGACCACCACTAATTCCAAAACCCCGAGCTAAGATCCCTCCTACCTACCTTCCTTTCCACTCACCAAAATGTCATTTCGAAAGCGGAGGAGGTGTACCACGACGCACGGGGAGAAATGGGGAGCAACCAATTCATGGATCCGATGTGCTGTGGTGAAGAATGGTAGCATGGATTTGTTGATCACTCCATTACCGACACAATTGCGCTTCTTCTCATCTCCGCATTCGCATTTTCGCTGAGCGGAGGAAGACGAATGAATGCCTTCGCCACATGGACACTTGGCCCTGGGTTGACGTGGCAAACTTGACATATTGTGTAGAAAAATGTTTTGTGATAACAAAACATGGGTTTCCTTGGGAACATGCAATATCTTGGGTTGTGACAAATACTAGGCTTTGGATTGGAGAAAAATGAATAACTAGTATCAAAAGCTATTTTGTTTAAAAATCCTAGATGATGAAAATTGATTTGACAAAGAATAGTGTATTATGGCATAAAATGAATACATGTGGAAGACATTCGAAGTTGTGATTTGAGTGATACAAGTTTGTTCAATTAGTATGTCAATAATACAAGTTTTAAAAGAGTGTTATAAAATAATTGTAATTATAGGGTATTTCAAAAAATTAATGTTGTAATTATATGTAACAAAAATATAGACAACAAAATGCAATTAAAAAAATTAATATATATATATATATATATATATACTAAATAATATAAATAACTATCATTGATATATGCATGTAAGCCAATAATTACATGTATAAATAAATAGAAGTAAGTAAAAGTAGATAAAAGTAAGTTAATTCTATAGTATTTGGTGTGGTAGCTTCTTAGAAGCTTCATAGACACTGCTTTGACTTCATAGGTGTCTTTAATTGACTTTTTGGGATTAGAAACGTAGTCAACAAGTTGCTCATGTGCCACACATATTGTTAGCTTGAAAACCAAGCTAACTATGTGGCCCATATATAGAAAAATTTGCTTTGTAAGTCAAGGCATGTGTTCTACAAAGTCAACACATATTAAAGGTCCTATAGAACGTCGCCACGTAACCCTTAGTTACATAGTGTATATAGAGACAAGAGTGAAGCCTTCTTCATTCCTGTCAACTCTTTTCTTGCTTCTAGTCTAGTTTCAAGGGTCTCTAGTTTTCTTGGCTTTTGGCAATAGCCATTCCAATTTCTTTCTTAATATATATATCAAGTTATTTCTATTTTGTCATCTTTCTATGAGAGAAGTCTCACTTATTTATTTGTCTTTATCATGTTCTTGTCTTTGACAAATTGACAAGAATACACTGTCAAGGACAAGAACTCGATGAGAAAACAATTCAGACAAGTGAGCCTTCACTCAAAGAGAGGTAACAAAATATATATAAACAAGTATATATATTGAAAGAGAAACTGGAATGGCTATTGCCAAAAGACAAAAAAACTAGAGACCCTTGAAACTAGACTAGAAGCAAGAAAGGAGTTGACAAGAGTGAAGAAGCCCTCACTCTTGTCTTTATATATACTATCTAACTAGGGGCTACGTGGTGACGTTCTATAGGACCTTCAATATGTGTTGACTTTGTAGGACACATGCCTTGACTTACAAGGCAAGTTTTTCTACGTGTGGGCCACATAGTTAGCTTGATCTTCAAGCTAACAACATGTGTGGCACATGGCCAACTTGTTGACCACGTTTCTAATCCAAAAAGTCAATTAACGACACCTATGAAGTCAAAGCAGCATCTAAGAAGTTTCTAGGAAGCTTCCATATTAAATATTATAAAATTAACTTACTTTTACCTATTTTTACTTACTGCTAACTATTTCTATATGTAATTATTAGCTTACATGATTATGGCCTTGACATTACCCCCCCTTCTAGAGACGAGTTCCACGAGGAGCGGTCATTATATGTTGAGGAAATCTATGATGCGACAAATTGTATTTGCCACATACTCTGATCTTTGTTCTCTTCGAAGATGATTGATAGGACCTCTCAACCATCGGTAGTGTTCCATACCAGGGCGGGAAGACCACCCAATTATTTGATCATTGTTGAGGCCTTCGTAACTTCCTTCGAATAGAATATTTGGAACACCATCAGGAGTTGTTCCTATCTCTAGTACAATCACCAAACATCGGGAGTCCCTTCCCAAATCGTGATACCAAACGCGTTGTATCTCGCCATCTATTCGAGGAAGAACATGTCGTTCTTGAAGATCTTCATCTCGATTGCATCGTCTTGAAGGTTGTGACAATCGTAATTTCTCGTCCGACAGGTCAGCAAATGAAGGCTCTTGAGTTGAATCCGCTGGTTGTTGGTTCTCCATCTCCTGAGCGTCACTACTACAACGAAGCTACCAACAAGAATTGAAAGTAAAATGTTATCTTGCCTAGATATTGTTTCTTTTATAAAGAAGGTTTTCATCTTGATTTTGATGGATGTCGTCGATGAAAAGCCTCCACCGCTTTTGTTGCATTTACAAGATTCTTTACTAGCTTCAATTTGCATTCACTTATATCATATCCACGCCAATGGACAAGATATTCCAATTTATTTCGGTGCTGCCTTGAATCTAAGACTTCTTCCACTTCAAACTCTTGATTATTATTCACTTCTATATGACGAGGTGGAACTTGTCTTTTTCTTCGTATGTCCATTGTCTTGTATGATTCAAGAAGAGACACGTGGAATACTAGATGGATTTTCATTGACTCCGGTAGATGTAAACGATATGCAACTGTATTGATTTGTGCAGAAATAGAAAATGGTCCCAGCCTTCGATAGTCCAACTTGTCACAAGGACGAGTGGTCTTGATATTATGACGAAGTAGCCATACCTTATCACCCAAGACGAATGATGGTTGTTCCTTTCGATAGACATCCGCATTGGTCTTTTGTTGTTCTTGAGCCTCTTTTAACTACGCCTTCATCATTGCATGTAGCTCTGATAAATGAATTGCCAAATCTTTCACAGTAGGATTATCAATTTTTGAAAAGTCAAAAGTATCAAGTCGTGGATGATAACCATAATTAGCAAAGAAAGGTGTTTGTTTTGTAGAAGAATGTACCGTGTTATTGTAAGCAAACTCTGCCAATGGTAAAAGAGTTGTCCAATCATCTTGTTGGTAATTAATGGTACATCTTAAATATTGCTCCAAAACTTGATTAACAGGCTCCGTTTGTCCATCAATTTGAGGATGGAATGTCGAAGATAGTTTTATATCTACTTTAAGAATCTTGAAAAGAGTCCGCCAAAATCTTGATACAAATTGAGTTCCCCTATCTGATATAATATCCTTGGACAATCCATGATAGCAATAGATATTATCAAGAAAGAGCTTAGCTGTTTCTTCACATATGATAGATTTTGTACATGGTACAAAATGTGCCATCTTGGTAAAATGATCTACTATCACGAATATAGAGTCATAAGAACTTGAGATTGAAAGATCCGTGATGAAGTCCATAGAAACAGAAGACCATGGTTGTTCTAGAATGGGTAATGGCTGAAGAAGTCCAAAAGATAGATGACGAGGAGTTTTCGATCTTGAGCAAACATCACATGATTGTACAAAATCTTTAACTGCCTTCCACATTTGGAGCCACCAAAAATCCCTAGATATCAGCTCCAAAGTCTTATTATATCCGAAATGTCCTGCTGCTGGGAAGTCGTGACGAACTTGAAGAACACGTAAACGTACTTCTTCTTCTGGAACATATAGGCATCCTTCGAAAAAGAGTAGGTTGTTCTTGAATTCAAATTTAGATGGATCATGAGATTTAGAAGAATTATTCTTGATATCATGAACAAGAGGGTCTAAAGACATACTTAACTGGACTTGCTTAAGAAAAGTTAAATCAACAGTCAATGTTGATTTTATTGCTCGAAGATGAAATTGCTCCGACTTCAAGAGAACCGTTCTTTGTTGCTCAAAAGCTACATCTCTTTCTTTTGGTGCAAGATAAGAACGTCTACACAAGGCATCGGATAAACCTTGTTGTTTTCCTGGCCGATAAGTGACGATGAATTCGAATCTTAATAAAGACATGCTCCAACGAGCTTGGCGACTATTTAATACGCGTGCTGACATAAAATATTCGAGGTTCTTGTGATCCATATACACAGTAACTAGACTAGAAGCGCCTTCTAGATAATGACACCATTCTTGAAAAGAATCCACAATTGCAAGAAGTTCTTTGTCATGGATCTCATAATTGATTTCTGCTACTGAGAATTTTCTTGAATGAAAGGCTATTGGATGAAGTTTGTCATCTGTTTCCATTTGTGATAAAATCGCACCCAGAGCAAAGTCTGATGCATCTGTTTCCATAAAGAATGCTTTGGAAAAATCAACACCATACAAGATTGGTGCAGAAACAAATGCTGTCTTCAAAGATTCAAAAGCAACTTCTGCTTCTTGATTCCATTGGAATTTGTCTTTACAAGTCAAACGTGTAAGTGGAGCTGCAATTCGAGAGAAGTCTTTGATGAAGATCCGATAGTAGTTGGCAAATCCCAAAAAACATTGGACGTCTCTTACCGTTTTTGGAATCTTCCAGTCTATAATAGTTTGAACTTTCTTAGGATCCATCATAAGTCCATCATTTGAAATGATGTAACCTAAGAAATCGACTTGAGTAGTGTGGAATACACACTTTTCTATCTTGGCATAGAGTCCTGCATCTCTTAATTTTTGTAACACATGACGAACATGAAGTTCATGTTCTTTTGGATTCTTAGAATAGATCAAGATGTCGTCTAGATAACATACGACAAAATCGTCCAAAAACTCTCGAAAAACATCATTCATTAGATGTTGAAAAGCTGCTCGTACATTTGTAAGTCCAAAAGGCATGACGTTGTATTCAAAATATCCATACCTAGTTCGAAACGCAGTCTTCCATTCATCTCCTTCTTTGATGCGTACTAGATTGTATGCTCCCCGAAGATCTATTTTTGTATAGATCTTAGCTTGATTCAGCTGATCAAGAAGTCCAGATATTAAAGGTAGTGGATACTTGTTTTTGATGGTAATCTTGTTGAGTCTTCAATAATCAACACACATCCGCAATGATCCATTTTTTTCTTCACAAATAGAATTGGAGCTCATGCCGAAGATTTAGAATGGCGTATAAAATTCTTGGCTAGATTTTCTTCAATATACTCCTTGAGTTCAGCCAACTCATTTTGTGATAAACTGTAGATTGGT